GAGCTTGTTGGCTGCCTCATGTACCTGATGACCTGCACACGACCTGACCTCGCATACCCTCTTAGCATTCTCGCACGCTATGTTGCTCCTGGGAGACACAGACCGGAGCACATGGCTGCAGCGAAGAGGGTGTTGCGTTACTTGTGCAGTACGTCGGGCATGGGGCTTGTGCTTGGAGGGCAGAGTCCAGTGGTCCTCACTGGGCACGCAGACGCTTCTTGGGCTGACGACCAGGCTACGCAGCGGTCGTCACAGGGTTACACCTTCAGCCTTGGTTCCGGCTCTGTTTCGTGGCGGGCTACCCGCTCGTCTTCTGTTCTCGGCTCCAGTTGTGAGGCTGAGATCTACGCCGGGGCCATGGCTGCACAGGAGCTTCGCTGGCTCACCTACCTGCTGACTGACCTCGGAGAGCCGCCTCGTTCTCCTCCAGTGCTGTACGTAGACAACAAGGCCATGCTGGCCTTGTGTCGAAAGCAGAGACTGGAGCACAGAACAAAGCACATTGCTCTCCGCTACTTCCTTGCTCGTGAGCTACAGCAGCGTGGTCAGCTGCGGCTTGCGTACGTGGCCTCTCAGGCCAACACTGCTGATATCTTCACCAAGGCACTTGCGCCTTGTGATCATCAGCGCTTCTGTACTCAGCTGGGTCTTGTGCCTACCTTGCCTCACTTGCTCACCCCTTGACCTTGTTTGTACTGTTGCATATATATATACACCTGCTCTTGCTTGTCTAGCCTTATATATATATGTAATCCTGCATGTGAACTGGCCTTGTGGCCTTGAACTTGTGCTCGGAATGTGTGGTGACTTTGTGATCCACCCTGAGCTTGCTTTGCTTTGCTTGACTGGTCTTGTGACCCCTTGTTCTCCCCCACTTTGCCTATGGGGGTGTGTCAGATTTATATGACATAGCTACTGTAGGCTATAGTGGGGTAGCACATATGGGGTACAGTTTTCTAGGGTTTACATTTGTACCCAACTTTCCCTTAGTCAATTCATTCTCGTTCAGTTTCTCAGGGGGGTGCCACGCTTTTACCGTGTCCAGTTTCTTCGGGTCGATCTCAACTCCAACCTCCGAAATAACGTGCCCCAAAAATTCTAACCTATCCTGGAAGAACTCGCACTTGGAACCCTTGGTCAGTAGTCTGTGCTCGTCTAAAACTTTAAACACTGCTTCCAGATCTGCTAAGTGCTGCTGCTTATCACGACTGTAGACTAGGATGTCGTCGAGGTAAACTATCACGCATTTATCTAAGAGTGGCCTAAACGCCTCGTTCATGGTCATCTGAAATGTCGCCGGTGCGTTGGTCAGCCCGAATGGCATCACGGTGTACTCGAATGACCCGTACCTAGTTCTAAATGCCGTTTTTACGCAGTCCGATGGTTCGACCCGAATCTGGTGGTAACCTCCGCGTAAGTCAATTTTCGAAAAGACCCGTGCTGTTCGCAGTTGATCTATCAGTTCGTCGGCGCGGGGAATGGGGTATCGCGACTTGACTGTTACCCGGTTCAGTGCTCTGTAGTCGATACACATGCGAAAACCTCCGTCTTTTTTCGGTGTGAACAGTATCGGTGCGGCGAACGGTGACGAACTCGGTCGGATGAATTTTTTTATCTAACAGGTAATCTAACTGCTTCCTCAGTTCATCGAGCTCTGGCTGTGTCAGTCGGAATTGTCGCTGTACAGTTGGCTGTGCCCCCGGTTCTAACTCTATTCGGTGGTCATGTGCCCGCTGAGGTGGCAGTCCCTCTGGTAAATCGTCCGGAAAAATCCCCGGGTACCGTTTCAACAGTTCCTGTAGTTCGGGCGGTACTGCTGCCAACAGTTTCTGAAAATTGCTCGGCTGCTCTGCTTCTCCTACCAATGCTATATCCACTGCGTACACGTCAGCTCCAGCGGCGACAGCCCGTTTCATCGTGATGGCGTTGACGTGGACCGTTGAAGACTCGGGCGACTGCCAGCGAGGTAGCACGACCCAGTTACCGCTACTTCGCACAGTGCAGCTACCCGTCGTCCAGTCGATTCGCGGATTATACCGTCGCAGCCAGTCACGTCCCAGTAAAATGTCGTGCCCATCCAGTGTCGTCGCGAGCATTTCCTGTGTAAACCCAAAGTTCCCCCCGCAGCGGACTTTTACTCTTTCCACCTTCTCCCGTATGGCCAGCGGCGTGCCGTCGACTAAGCGTGCATCTATCTCCGGTAAACACCGACTAAGTGTCAGTTGCAGCTTCCGTGCGGTTGCGGTATTAACTAAGCTGTGGCTTGCTCCTCCGTCTATAAAAATCTTCACTGCTGCTCCCTGTATTTTCCCGTGAATCAGTACTGGGCAATCCGTCGCTGTACCCTCCTTATTCATCCGAGCCCGATCGATAGCGTGAATCGGTACTGTGACTCGGTGAGGGTCGGTGAGGTTGGGCGAGCAGGCAGTCTCGTCAGTAGTTGGCCCAATTTCTACTGACTGCTGGCGTTTCCCTGCCTCTGAGACTCCCTCCCCTACTCTGCTCCGCGGCGCCTTAGCTCCTCTGGGCACTCGCTTTTGCGATGGCCCGGCCTGTTGCAAGCAAAGCAGCGCCCCTTAAACGGCGCGGCAGCTGCATTCGTCGCAACGGCGTGTACGGTGGCGTGCTCGATCGGTCCCCGAGGGCGATGTCTGTAATAGGACCCCGGTCTCGGACGGCGTAGAATGTCGATTTTCTCGGCGAGCGCGAGGATCTCGTTAAAATTCGAGAGCCCACGCATCATGATTTTGTGCGAGATGTCCGGCTTCAGCCCTCCGACGTAACGGTCCACCCGCTCCGCTTCGTGCATGTAGCCGACTTGCTCGCATAATGCGAGAAAACCGCTCGTGTAGTCTTGAACTGATCCGAGCTGCCGCCAAGTACGCAGTCTCTGACGCGCCGAAATAGAAGCCGCGATCGGCTCGAAGCGCGCCCGAAGCCCTGCGCACCACGCATCCCACGTGCTGTACTGGGCGGTTTCGCAAAATGAACTCCAGGTGACGGCTGGGCCCGTGGGCTCTTCCTCTTGCGACGGTGGCTCGTAGGCGCGTGGCGACGTCACGATGACTTGCCACCAGTCCATGGCGGGGCCCCTCAGCAGCGAAACAGCATAGCGAATCTTCGCTGCGTCCGACTCGACGTAATTCGCGTCGAAGAAAACGTTCATCGTGAAGACCCACGATTGAACCGTCGGACCTCCACGTTGGCTCGGATCGAAACAGGGCGGGCGCTGCGGCTTGAGTGGCATTGGTGCCATGATGTCGTGGCTGCCACTTGTTGCTGCAAACTCCACGTGCCGACGAGCTTCGCGAGGCCCACGCGGGCTTGGTGCGGCCCTATTTCTCTCCATGCCAGGCATATGTCAGAGGTCCACTGGTGATCCCCGATTGATCCTAGGGAAGGGTTACAGGCTACTTGTCCTGGGGGGTTATGGGCGCACTGACCCGCTACTTAACAAGCCCTTTTATCCCAATGGTCTAGTGGTTGGGATTCTGACATGGTATCAGAGCAAAGGTCTTGGGGCCGAATCCCAGTGTGTGCACTTCGGGCATCCCAGTGCGGGGGGGTGTCAGAGGTCCACTGGTGATCCCCGATTGATCCTAGGGAAGGGTTACAGGCTACTTGTCCTGGGGGGTTATGGGTGCACAGACCCGCTACTTAACAAGCCCGTTTATCCCAATGGTCTAGTGGTTGGGATTCTGACAGCATCAATTGAGCGGCGCCATCACTGGCTGCGCCTGAGCGCTGTCCCACGCTGTCGTGTTGCGTCGGTGTGCCTGATGAGATGACGATCGGTTCTTCTGATTGCGCAGGTGCATTTGCGGGTGCTTGTGATGGTGCTGGCGCATTCACTGTTGATTGCTGGCGGGCGGAGTCACGTTCCGCCGTGAGTGTCGCGATTTCGAGCGCCGAGTCTTCGAGTTGGCGCACGAGACGGTCGAGTTGCTCCTGCGTCAATGTCGCAAGATTAATTTCGGCCATGGCGGGGGTGTCGGGCAAGCTCAGCGAGAGCCTCTGTCGTGGCCGTGCGTGCTTACGAAAGAGCACTTCGAGCGGCGGTGCTTGTTCGCTGAGAGACGTCTACCCCCCCAGAAAAATTGAGATAGTGGGGAAAGCGAAGGTGTGGGTGCGGTCCGAGAGGAGATCGTAGGCTCTGAATACCAAGTGTTACGAGTGCAATTGAGCGAGCGAGCGAGAATTGCACTATCGAAGCAAAACAATACAGTTGAGCGAAAAGCATGAGCGAAGTTATATAGCGAAGCTAGCGTGGTAACGGTAATGCGGGAAATTGGGGTGCGCTACGGGCCTAGCGCCGAGGTTGGGAATTGTCGAAGCGGAGGTCCGGAGCGCGGGTTACCAACCGAACCGTGAGGTTGGGTCGCATCGTGAAAGGTGGCGGGAGTCGTGGTGGAGGCGAATGTCGCGAGCGGGTAACGTTCACGGATGGGTGCCGATGACGGGCATGTACGCGGTAAGCAGGGACGCGAAGTAAGGAAAAGGAATTTTCCTTACAGTTTACTGGATTCCCTGCTCTTCCTAAAACTAGCCGTTGCTCGTCCTGACATTGACGCGGCTCGATCCCCCCCTTCCGTTTTCCACGATCGGTTGTTGTCTTCATGTCAGCCCTCGAGTAGGGAACCTTCGTCGTTTGACATTCTTGGATCGTCGTAATAGATGCTTGGTTACTAACGAGGATGCGCCATTGCCGTGCACACTGTCGACCGTTACAGCAGTTTCTGTACTCGTTACAAGCTAATCGACGGCATGTTTTCTGCAGCGAATTCGCCAGTGCAGTGGGGATTACGAGAGCAGCGCAACCCGCGGCGGAAAGAGCGGCGGGATTCGCGCTGAGAGCTAATAGTCTATTAGCAGCACCATCACCTCAGCACCCTCGAATCCAGCAGGGGGATACGAGCGCGTTCATTTCATCGCGTCGCGCGGGCGATGTCGAACATGGGGATTCTAGAACCTTTAGTCTCGCGTCGCTTGCGCCGCAGCGAATGGCCGAATCGCCACGATTTGATCACTTGAGATCACCAGCCGCAGTACTACGCGGAAGCGTCGATCCGTCTAGTATTCGCGGCTTCGATACAAGCAGACTCGCTTCTAGCGCCCGTCTACACTCAGCGAATCCGGACGCTGCCGCGCTCCCCACCCCGCGGATCCGCTCCGCCTTTGTTCCTTCCGCCAGTCCAACTCCGCCATGCCCCCTCGCGCACGCGCACGCGCACGCGAACGTGCATCCCCATTCCAAATCTCACTCCTACTCTCGCACGCGATGGAGAGTCGACCTCCATCTTGGCTCGGGAGAACGGATCAGACCCGTCGGCGGCAAGAGTGATCGTGCCCAACTTGCAGGGCTTACGAAGGGCTTTAGCAATCCAAATTCTCCTTTCTCTGACTTGCTTTCCGCCGATTCTCCTTCCGCCGACTCTCCTCTCGCCATCGCCGCGAATCCGCCCCGCGCCTCCGCCGCTTCCGCTGCTCTTGGTAGTGGGGGGTTAGGATTCGGCATCCGGCACGGCTCTTGGTCTAGTAGCAGCAGCAGCAGCGGCCTGAGTGGCGCCAGCAGGGGCGGAGGCGGAGGCGGAGGGTTTCTGGGTTTTTCGTCGCCTTCCAAGAAGTTCCACGAGAAACGCCTGATTGGGTGGGTGCCCTGCTCCTCGTCGCGTGTGCATGGCTCCTCGCCTGCTCTGACCACGATCCATGATCCATGACCCATGACCCATGACCCATGACCCATGACCCATGACCCATGACCTATGACCCATGACCCATGACCCATGACCCATGACCCATGACCCATGACCTATGACCTATGACCCATGACCCATGACCCATGACCCATAACCCATGACCCATGACCTATGACCCATGACCCATGACACATGACCTATGACCCATGACCCATTGACCCATGACCCATGACCCATGACCTATGACCTATGACCCATGACCCATGACCCATGAACCGTGACCCATGACCCATGACCCATGATCCCTCTGTCCCTTCCCCCCCCCCCCCAGCTACACGCCAGAGCAGGTGTTTGACGTGGTGGCCAGGGTGGAGCGCTATGCTGACTTCCTGCCGTGGTGTGTGGGCTCGCACGTGCTGCTCACCCCTGACCTGTGACCCATCACCTCTCCCCCCCGTACCCCTTCCCCACAGGTACACGGCAGAGCAGGTGGTTGACGTGGTGGCAGGAGAAGAGCGCTATGCTGACTTCCTGCCGTGGTGCTTGGGCTCGCACGTGCTGCTCACCCCTGACCTGTGACCCATCACCTCTCCCCCCCGTACCCCTTCCCCACAGGTACACGCCAGAGCAGGTGGTTGACGTGGTGGCAGGAGTAGAGCGCTATGCTGACTTCCTGCCGTGGTGCTTGGGCTCGCACGTGCTGCTCACCCCTGACCTGTGACCCATCACCTCTCCCCCCCGTACCCCTTCCCCACAGGTACACGCCAGAGCAGGTGTTTGACGTGGTGGCAGGTGTAGAGCGTTATGCTGACTTCCTCCCATGGTGCGTGGGCTCGCATGTGCTGTGGCGGGCACCCGAAGGCATGGAGGCGGAGCTGGAGATCGGGTTCCACATGCTGAGGGAGAAGTACCTCTCACGGGTTACTTACAAAAGACCGCTCTATGTGACGGTGAGTGCTTTGTGCTGGTAGTTGGTAGCGTGCCGTGCCCAGACTGCATGGCTAGCATGTGCTGTGGCGGGCACCCGATGGCATGGAAGCAGAGCTGGAGATTGGGTTCCACATGCTGCGAGAGAAGTACCTTTCACGTGTTTCCTACAAGCGACCACTCTTCGTGAGGGTGAGTTGTGTGTTGGGGTGCACAGAGCACATGTTCTGAGGTGCGTCAAGGGTGTGTGTGTGCATGGGATGGGACGCATGGGGGCGGAGCTGGAGATTGGGTTCCACATGCTGCGAGAGAAGCACCTCACTTTTGCGAGTCACCCACAAGCGACCAGTCTTCATGACGGTGAGCTGTGTGCTGGGGTGCATGCACGTGCAGCTGTGCTTGAACCGCTTCTGGGAGTTGTAAGAAATGCATGGAGCGCATGGATGGAGGCGGAGTTGGAGGTTGCTTCCAGATGCTGAGAGAGAAGTACCTCTCCCGTGTCACGTACAAGCAACCAGTCTTCATGACAGTGAGCTGTGTGCTGGGGTGCATAGAGCACTTTGAGTACCTCCCCCTCCCAGGTACGCCCCGCGTGCTCACAGCAGCACAGTGCTCCTCGACCATCTCAACAACCACTGTGGGGATTTTGAGAATTCTCAAACATCCCTTAAGAGCGCGTGCTCACAGGCACAGCACAGTGCTCGTCCCACCATCACAGCGCGTGTAAACTCTCCCTTTTGCTTCGACCCTCCTGCCCGTCTCACTCCTCTCTCTCGTCTCTGCCCTCCTAAGTTTCAATTCCACTCTCCCCTTCCAACCCCTCTCAGGCTCGCTCCGCGGACACAGGCCTCTCTTCCACCATCTCAACAACCACTGGGAGTTCGCCCCAATGCTCAGAACCCCTCCATACCGCCCACGACCCCCCTCTCTTACCTGTGCCCTATCAGGCGTGTTTCGCGGACACAGGTCCACCATCTCGACAACCACTGGGAGTTCTCACCAGCTCCCGCCTCCCCACTGCCTTCCTAGACGCTCGTGCTCATCCCCCCTGCCCCTCCCCATTTCTCCTCAGGCGCGTTCCACCATCTGGACAACCACTGGGAGCTCTCCGCTTTGCCCAGACCCCCCTCCCCTCCCCGTCTCATGCTTCTCTTGCACCTCTGCCCTTCTTTTAACCTCCTCCCATCATTCTCTCAGGCTCGTTCCGCGGACACAAGGCTCTTCCACCATCTCGACAACCATTGGGAGTTCTCGCCTGGCCGCCTCCCCAGCTCCTGCCTGCTCTCCTCAATGCCTTCTTTAACACTGGTCCCTCCTGCCTCTGCTGCACTCTCAGCAGGCTCGTTCCTCTGACCCGAGGCTCTTCCACCATCTCGACAAGCATTGGGAGTTCTTGCCTGTGCTCGATCCCCCCTGCCCCTCTCACAATTTCCTCTCATCTCTGCCCTTCTAAATCCGCTATTCTTTTTCTATTCCCCCCAGGCTCGTTCCGCGGACACGGGTCTCTTCCACCATCTCGACAACCATTGGGAGTTCGCCCCTGGCCGCCTCCCCGGCTCCTGCCTCCTCTCCTTCTCTGTTGACTTCCAATTCCGCTCCCTGCTCTACACCCAGGTGAGCTGGGCTCTACACTCAGGTCTGGTTGCTGCAATTGCTCATGTGTGGTGTGTAGTTACACTTGCACGGGTCACAGAGGACGCCGTTGCCCCTGCCTGCTCTCCTTCTCCGTCGACTTCCAGTTCCGCTCGCTGCTCTACACCCAGGTGGGCTCTATATAAGTGCTTTCTTGAGAGTCCATTACTTCAGAAATGCTTTCCTGGAATCGGAACTTGCTTTCTCTGTAGACACCTAGTTCCGCTCCCTGCTCTACACCCAAGTGGGCTCTACACCCAGGTGGGCTCTACACCCAGGTGCGCTCTAGCTCTACACCCAGGTCTGGTTGCCGTATGTGGTTACTATCGCACGGGTCACAGAGGACGCTGTTGCTCCTGCCTGCTCTCCTTCGCTGTTGATTTCCAGTTCCGCTCCCTGCTCTACACCCAGGTGGGCTCTACACCCAGGTGGGCTCTACACCCAGGTGCGCTCTAGCTCTACACCCAGGTGGTCTCTCTCTGTTGTGGTTGACCTAGAGCCTCTGTCAAAATGCCATATATTTGTTTTTTCTTCTTCTTTTGTTTGTTCCTCCTGCCTCGTTCCTGCAGTTTCTTGACCTATTTTTTGACGAGGTGGTGAGCAGCCTTGTCAATTCGTTTGAGCGGCGGTGCGAGGAGATTTATGGTCCGAGTAAGGTGGTCATGACAAATTGATGCGTACATTGCTTGGGTTCATGCCTTTCTTAACGGTAAGGGTGGCTTCTGTTGGGGCGTCACAGAATTAGAAGTTAAAATTGAACATGAGCATGGAGAATAGAGGTTGTAGCATGTACAGCAATGTATTGGGTTCTAATTGATTTGTAGTCCATAATAACATTCGTTCCCACAGTAGTGTATGTATACACCCAACTGGATGAGGTGTGTAGGAGTGATATGATGTGGCCGATGCTGATTTCGTTGATGCTGACCTCTAGCATCAAGCCATGTGGCTGTGCTTGACTGCGCCTGCTTTACAGCTTGGCGAAGAAGCTAGCGACTCGAAAATCGAGGTGACATGGGAGATATGCCACACTAGTGGAGGAAATGTAGTAGAATCTTCAGTGGCGGCGCTAGCGCTTCGCTAGACGCTTCTCCAAAAAGCGCGCAGCGAAGCCACTTCGGCCATTTTCAGGTGCATGCAACTTAGCCTGGGAGATGTATTCAAGTGCATGCCATGTTATTCCGCAGGTGTGTACACTTTACGCAGCTTAGAAATTTGTTATCGTAATATGATGCGCGTCCCAAGATTCGTTTCGAATTAGCACAAACAGTCGAGAATAGATGCGATTACGGGTTACGCAAAGCGAAATCGGGAATGGTTGGCTCTCGATTCTACATTTTCTGACGTCATCAGAAAAGGAAACTCAATTAGAACTCGGGCAGATTTTTCACGTTTCGGATCATCCTTTCTTAATTTCTGCACGCCCAAGAAAAAAATGTTGATTTGCCAGCGCTCGTCACCTGTGTCAATAGTACAGCTGATCTAGCATTAAAGTTTGTTCAAGAAGAGTTGCGGCGAAGCAGAAATCCGCGTCGAAATTGGGCAAACATGCAATGATTGCTTCTGGTGACGTCATAAAATGTAGAGTCGAGAGCCAACCATTCCCGATTTCGCTTTGCGTAATCCGTAATCGCATCTATTCTCGACTGTTTGTGCTAATTCGAAACGAATCTTGGTAAGCGCATCATATTAAGATAACAACATTCTAAGCTGCGTAAAGTGTACACACCTGCGGAATAACATGGCATGCACTTGAATACATTTCCCAGGCTAAGTTGCATGCACCTGAAAATGGCCGAAGCCACTTGTGGTATGGCGTTTATCGCTGTGCGATGGTATTTTTGTGCCTTCGTTGGCCCCTGCACGAACGGCCAGGATTGGTCTTGTCAGGTTCAGGCATTCTGGAACGGAAGGCTTCATCTGGCCATGCGGTGCGCACGCGCACGCTTTGCCCAGGGCAGGCAGGGTTTGTTCGACACACACGACACACACACACACCGCCGGGTTGGCTTGTGGGGGAAGAATGGAAAGGGGGGTTTTGCGCGGTGGTGCGGACCAGGCGGGGCTGGAGCGGAGGCGGAGACCCTCAACTTGCGCGGCTTGTTTTGGGGCAGGCTCTTCTGGCAAGACAAATGGGGGCACGAGTGTAGTGGTAACCAGTTTTGTATAAATTCCAGCTATTCAAACATTTTCAGAATCAGGGTGCAGATTCCATTCTCCCACCACTCTCACCAACACCAAGCCATTCATTCTTCTTTCCACCAACTCCGCACCTGCGCCGCTACCTACGCTTGGATTTCCTGCGCCATGGCGTCTCGCAAGGTGCTCCTTTGCCTTGCGCTTGCACTTGCGGTGCTTGCAGTGGCTGCGCCGCTCGCCTTCGGAGCTGACGCGAACGTCCCGGGAGGTAAGAAACGAACATTTCTCCAAGTTACCGTTTATTATCATGTTCACGTGCCGCATCCGTCGTTTCTAACACAATGCAGCTTCCCAGCTGTTCTCTCTAACGAAACTTGCACTCACTGAGAATGAGCGATCGCGTATGCGGCTCCTTTTCGTTTTTGCAGGCGCCAACTCGAAGCTCAAGGCAAGCCGCCGCTCGCTGTCCGACGACGGACACTGTTGGAAGGAAACGGTGGTGGGGCGGTGGTATGCCCCCAACCCACCGAGGGCACTTCGGTGCCTTCGATCCCTTTGACTAGGGATCGGTGGGGTGGCACCGATTGACTTCGGGAGACTCACCCTTCGGTGCCACGTGGCGGCACCACATTCCAACCTTCAAGTGCAAGGCGAATTCGGTGTGTTCGGTGTGAAATTCGGTGGTCGAATTTCACCCCAACCGAAATGTTACACGCGGCGCATTCGCGACGCGAGTGTAGCGATGTGATGTTACATGTGCGGTTCGATGTAATGCATTTGCTATAAATCGACCTGCCTTGTATGCATGCTTTATACTGAAATCCTGAATCTTCTTGTACATGGTCCATTCGAACCAAAATTCCAGAGAGGTCTATCCTTGCTTCTAAGAGCACTAGCAATCACGTGAACGCCAATATCTCGGCGTATACTTGGGCGATTAACGTGTTTGACGGCTTGATGGAAAGCCAAGACTGTGCTCTATCGTTTAGTGCAACTTAGAGTTCCTGCAAAGTAGAGGAGACGCCTCTACAACAGTGGTATCAGAGCTGGTCGGTAGAGTCTATGTGCGCGACTTGTAGCAAGCATGATGACGTCAAGCGAAACCTCCGGCACTTCCTTAGGTGGTGTCGTCTCGAATCCCGGCGAACCCTGGACAAACGCGACGGTGTTCGACACGTCGGCGGTTCCGATTTTCACGGGACAAAACTACTCCGCGTGGAAATTTAAGTTCCAAGTGCTCATGATGGAGCGGGGACTTTGGGGTCTCTTCGACGGAACGGAGAAAAAGCCGGTCAACGAGGACGAGATCGCGGCATGGAAGAAGAAGGACCAAAAGGCGTTCGCAACGTTGATTTCGCGCATCGGCATCAACCTCGTGAGTTCGGTGCGCACGTGCATCAAGCTCGAAGCTTCGGCGCGTGAAGCATGGAAGCGGCTCGAGACGATGCACGTGAACAAGACTCTCCACGGCAAGATCCTAGCCCGAAATGCGTTCTACACGGTGAAGTTGCGCGCGGGCGAATCGATGCACGAGTATGCGACTCGTGTGGAGGAACTCGGGGAAACGTTCATGGACCTCGGTGGAACGGTCACGGAGGAGGATTGGATTCTCACCTTGCTTTGCGGCCTTCCGGAAGAGTGGTCGACGGTGATTACGACACTCGATAGCGTGCAAAACACTTGGACGAAGGAAATGGTGGTCGGTCGGCTTCTCCATGAAGAATCGCGACGCCGACAATTCGCTAACGAGAGCGTGGAGACCGCCATGTTCTCCGGAGGGAGCTCCGGAAAGAAGTCCAAGTGGAGCAACGGTGAGGCAAAGAAGTCGTCCGGTGGAAACGGTCGCGGCAAGGGCAACGCATCGAACAGTTCGAGCAAGTGTCATTATTGTCGCAAAGCGGGGCACTTTTGGCGTGAATGTCGGAAGCGGCCGAGCGATTGGATTCCATCGAAGGCGCGGAACCAAGAGGGCAACGCGCACACGGCATCCGGCGAGGCGGATGATTCAACGGAGTCGCTCGTTTTGTTGGCCGGTGACGGGATCAACACTTCAAACGACGCGTGGTTCCTCGACACCGGTGCAACACAACACATGACGCACTCGGCGTCGCTCCTCAACAACGTCGGTGCTCCGGGAGACGTCAAGCGCGTCGTCTTCGGGAACGATAAATCGCTACCGGTGGTTGGAGTTGGGAGTACGCGTCTCATCGTCGATGGCGGGCCGGTGGACATCACGAACGTGCTTCACGTCCCGGGATTGAAGGTGAATCTACTCTCCGTCACTCAACTCGCAAAGAAAGACGTGAAGGTCACCATCGATGGCGCGAAGATGAACCTCTTTTGGAAGGGGAAGCAATTCGCGCAAGGCGTCCTCAACGGACAACTCTACCAACTCAAGACGCATCCGACAACGGCCTCATCCAACGTGGCGCAAGGCTCCAAGGCGACTCTCAAAATGTGGCATAATCGGCTTGCGCACGCCAACTACGACTCGGTCAAAGAGTTGGCCAACAAAGGACTTGCGAAGGGATTTGACGTGATCGCCGGCAACGACGAGAAGGGCGTGTGCGCGGCGTGTGTCGAAGGAAAAATGGCTCGCAAGCCATTTGGTAGCCGTACCTCACCCCTCGCAAAGGACCCGCTTGCGCTTGTTCACATGGACGTGTGTGGACCGATGCGGCATGGATCAAAGGGAGGAGCGCGGTTCCTCTTAGTGATGCTCGACGACGCGACGCGGATGAGTTGGACCCGACTCTTGAAGGCTAAGGGAGATGCGGCCAAGGAGATTCAAGAGTGGGCGCTCGACGTTTGCGACGACGGCAAGAAGCGAATCAAGGGCATTCGCACCGATGGTGGCGGCGAATTCGTGAGCAACGAGCTTGAAAAATGGATGAAAAGCAAGGGCATTAAGCACGACGTCACGACACCCTACACACCCCAACAAAATGGAGCGGTAGAGCGGCTCAATCGCACATTGATGGAGGCCGTTCGTTCACTTCTTCAACACTCCAAGCTTGGGAACGAGTGGTGGGGAGAGGCGAGTGCGCTAGCGGCATGGATTCGTAATCGTGTGCCAACAAAGGTGCTACCGGGAACGACTCCGTTCGAAGCATGGACCGGAACGAAGCCGAACCTATACCGCCTACGCACCTTTGGGTGCCTTTGCTACTACCATGTACCGGATCCACTTCGCCACAAGTTGCAACCGAAAGCTCGTGCGGCGATCTACTTGGGGATTGCGGCGAACGAGCGTGCATGGCGAGTGTGGGATTTGGATGAAAAACGCGTCGTCACGTCTCGGGATGTGATCTTCGACGAAGACAAGTTCCCGACAAAGGAGAAACAAACGCCGCAACTCACCGTCGTCCTTCCCGCACGAGAGGAGGATGAAGCGGTGGAGGTTTCACCGCACGTGAAGAAGGGAGCCGAAAGTGGAGGGGGAGAGAATGAGGAGTGCGATGATGATGTCGAGGAGGTGCCACCAACCGAGGAGGCCACTTCCTCCGCACCGTCTTCCCTACCATTGGCGTTGACTCGCGGGCGTCGTACACCTCGCCCCAACACGAGGTTAACCGACTATGCTACGGTCGCCGTTGGGGAGTCGGATGAGGAGAGTGCGGCGATTTGCCTAGCGACCATCGGCGACGATAACCCACGCACTCACAAGGAGGCTTTGGCTTCCCCGGATGCACCGCTATGGAAGCAAGCGATGGAGAGAGAGTTAGCATCGATCAAGGAGAACGATGTTTTCGAGCTCGTCGACCCGCCGAAGGGTGCCTACTTGGTGGGATGCAAGTGGGTGCTTAGGAAGAAATTGGGAGCCGATGGAGGTGTCGAACGCTACAAGGCGCGGCTTGTGGCGCAAGGGTACACTCAACGGGAGGGGGAGCACTATAGTGAGACCTTCGCTCCCGTTTCGAAGGCCTCCACTCTTCGGGTGTTGCTCGCGCTAGCGGCATCTCTCAACCTCGAGGTGGAACAATTGGACGTTTGCACCGCCTTCCTCTACGGGCTTCTCATGGAAGAAGTCTACATGCGGCAACCCCCGGGGTACGATGACGGTAGCGGTCGGGTGTGGAAGCTCAAGCGTACCCTCTATGGCTTGAAGCAAAGCCCACGCGGATGGTACAAGCGCATCGACGACTTTCTTCTTCAACACGGCTTCGCGCGTAGCGTGTGTGATAGCGCTTTGTACGTGTTGAAGGAGGGGGAGAAGCAATTGGTGCTTTTGCTCTACGTCGATGACCTCCTTCTTTTCTCCGACTCCAAAGACCTCATTCGAGAGGTCAAGCAACGGCTAGGGGCGGAGTTTGCCATGAGGGACTTGGGACCGGTGACGTACTACCTCGGGATGCACGTCGACCGCGACCGCGCGAACGGGACCATTCACCTCCACCAAGAAAAATATGTGAAAGGGGTTGTGGAGCGCTTCGGCATGGGTAATAGCAACCCGGTGGGGACGCCACTAGACACGGGATTTTCTTGCCTCCCGGGAGAGGAAGAATCCGCCCTCGACGAAGCCGAAGGGAAGCGGTTTCATTCGCTAGTCGGCTCACTCATGTATGCCGCCGTTTCCACCCGTCCCGACCTCTCATACGCCGCCGGGGTACTTGGACGAGCCGTAAGCAACCCTCATACCGAGCATGTGCGTGCGGGAGGACGTGTTCTACGTTACCTCCAAGGCACACCCAACTTGGGAATCGTATATGAAGCCGGTCCATTCGTGCTTAAGGGCTACACCGACTCGGATTATGCCGGTGATCAAAGCAAGCGCAAGAGTACCGGCGGGTACGTCTTCACCTTGCTTGGGGGAGCCGTGAGTTGGCAAAGCAAGTTGCAACCAACCGTGGCTCTAAGCACAACGGAAGCGGAGTATATGGCACTCACTTAAGGAGCCATGGAGGCAATATGGCTACGGCGCCTTCTAGCGGAGCTTGGGCATCCTCAAGCCGACCCAACTCCTCTCTTTTGTGACAACCAAGCGGCCATAAACCTCACTCACAATGCCGTCCTTCACGGGCGTACCAAGCACATTGAGGTGAAGCATCACTTCATTCGTGAGGTGGTCGAGAGAGGTGAGGTCAAGGTCACATACATAAGCACCAAGGCGCAACCCGCGGATTTCCTCACTAAACCACTCCCTAAGGATTCATTCCGTGCATGCCGTGAGCGTGTTGGTATGAACACCTAGTGGCTTGGGTGCAAGGGGGAGTGTTGGAAGGAAACGGTGGTGGGGCGGTGGTATGCCCCCAACCCACCGAGGGCACTTCGGTGCCTTCGATCCCTTTGACTAGGGATCGGTGGGGTGGCACCGATTGACTTCGGGAGACTCACCCTTCGGTGCCACGTGGCGGCACCACATTCCAACCTTCAAGTGCAAGGCGAATTCGGTGTGTTCGGTGTGAAATTCGGTGGTCGAATTTCACCCCAACCGAAATGTTACACGCGGCGCATTCGCGACGCGAGTGTAGCGATGTGATGTTACATGTGCGGTTCGATGTAATGCATTTGCTATAAATCGACCTGCCTTGTATGCATGCTTTATACTGAAATCCTGAATCTTCTTGTACATGGTCCATTCGAACCAAAATTCCAGAGAGGTCTATCCTTGCTTCTAAGAGCACTAGCAATCACGTGAACGCCAATATCTCGGCGTATACTTGGGCGATTAACGTGTTTGACGGCTTGTTGGAAAGCCAAGACTGTGCTCCATCGTTTAGTGCAACTTAGAGTTCCTGCAAAGTAGAGGAGACGCCTCTACAACAGACACGACGACCACCACGACGACCATTCCGACCACCATCACGACGACTCCAGCGACGACCATCACTACGGAGACTCCAGCCATCACGACGGCGACAATGACCACTATTACAAGTCGCCGTCCAAGTCGCCGTCCAAGTCGCCGAGCAAGTCGCACGACTCCGACGACTGGTACCATCGTTCGCCATCCAAATCGCCTTCCAAGTCGCCCAACAAATCTCCGAGCAAGTCTCCCGGCAAGTGGCACGACTCCTCCTCCGACGACAAGTGGCACCGGTCGCCGTCGCCCAAGTCGCCGTCGCGCAAGTCGCCGTCGCCCAAGTGGCCGTCGCCTAAGTCGCCGTCTCCTAAGTCGCCGTCGCCCAAGTCGCCTGGCAAGTGGAACTCGCCGAGCAAGTCGCCTGGGAGCAAGCACGACGACGACCACCCCTGGAAGTCGCCGTCCAAGTCGCCGAAGTCGCCGTCCAAGTCGCCGTCCAAGTCGCCTGTGTGGGGCAAGTCGCCTGGCAAGTACCACGACGACCACGACGACGACCACAGTGGCGATCATAGCGAGCACCACTACAGTGCCGGGAAGCCCAGGTGGCAGCACAGCTAGAGCGGCAGTTGAGGATCCATTTCATCTGGTGGGCTTCGTGGGCTATTTTTCATTTTCACTTGATAGCTTCTTTTGAGTAGTTCCTGTGTGTGGGGGGGATGGTGTGTGGGGGTCCTTGGTGTGTGGGGGCTTTGCTTCCGTTTTTTTTAGCGTGTGTGATGAAGTTGTAGTCAGGGAGAGTCGGAACTTGTTTGAGGCAATAATATAGATGTTTTCATTTTGGGAACTGCTGGCTAAGTACTGGGGCGCCTTCAATGCGACACGAGATGGTGAAAAATATCTGGTGTGGGCGCCTGCTCCAAAGTCCCACCTTCAAATAACTAGGCGTCTTTCACCATTTTTAAGAACCAGTCATATTTATCACAACACGTCTGGGGCCCAAAGCTGCTATAATGTCAAATGATTCACTTCGAGCTGCAGCAAGTCAGCACCAAGCTTTGGTGTGATATCGCTGAACTTGAGAGGGAGGGGACGATGGATGGACATGAAAGGAAGGGGAGGATGTTCAGGTCATACACACCACACCACAGCAGTTATTTATGCAGCCTGCCTAACTCGTTGAGTTTGCTGCCTCCATAAATACACCATGGATTTCGTTTTTTACTATTTGGTCGTCTACACATGCTGCAGTTGCTGTACTCAAGCCCTGCGTACCATTTCCCCTGATGTGACTGACCAACGCCACAAGAAACGTTTGTAGCAGCTTATGCTATTATGTGTGCATTGTGCGCAGAATTCAGGCTAATAGCCGGTGCCTGTACCAGCAGATGAGATTTCAGAGTACTTGCTCCTGGGAATGCTGGGTAGTCGTGCTTGCTAATATTACTGACTATATATAAACAGACTTACAAAGGGAAAGGTGGGCCCAGCTGCCAGCTCAAACCACCTTTCCTGTACCACACGCGAACTGCCTACTTGGCCCCAGTCAAAGCACCCTGTTGAATCATCTCCCTGATCTCGTCACTGCACGCGCGGTCCAGGGCCGTGCGTCCCTCCCAGTCGGGCACGTCGCACCGCGCACCGGCGAACAGGAGCTCCTCGATCTTCCGCACATCGCCTTCCGATGCAGCCATCATGAGCAGAATGTCGCACGCGTGCGTGCCGGACTCGACCATCTTCGCCATCTTCTCGTACGACCCCTCGGCGGCGAGCATGCCGGAGTAGTTGAAGTACTGCCGGAGGATAGTTTTATTTGGGAGGGAAAATAAGATTTGCGCGAATTTCATCACTAAGCGTGCGTTTCTTTATTGTTTCTGGCACCATACCAGAAAATGAGATTGCAGCCACCATGCTTTTCAAGACAGAACGTGCGGAGAGAAATTAACGGAAGTCATGGTAGGGAGACAATTGGGGGAAACACAAAAGAATGAGCTGGGATCCAGCGGCGCGGCACTTACGTGAGCAATGTCGTCAGCGTCGTAGTCATCGCGAAGTTGGCTGGCGAAGATGCCGGCGCTCTTGGCGCTCTCTCCGCCGAGCTTGAAAAACGCGACAGTGCGAGCAGTAGATTTGACGCCGAATGCAGCCGTGGCTGATTGCTGGCGCACACCTGAAGATATAAAGCGATTAAAGGAGACACAAAGGTCGGTTTGTGTTCCGATCAAATAGATCGATTTTCTTAAAAAAACCATATTAAGGGTTGCTCAGGCAAAAAGCATGCAGTCAATCCATTTCGCAAGCTCCGTCCTGTACCTGCGAAGGAGGACGTGAGGGTCGTCTTCTGAGCTGGGTTGGATACGGCAGCGATAGCGCCAGATGCAAGCTTAGCAGCAGCCATGGTGGTAGCAGCCATTGCGGTAGTTATGAGGGTGGAATGGAGCAGGCCAAAGAAGAAGCTGCTAAGCCGATGGCTGTTGGAAGGCGGAGCGAGTGCTTCGTTGGATTCGTGACTCGTGAGCTTGAAAGTTTGCTTTGAAAATGGAGAGGGATTCTGGAGGAGGTTATACACTTCCGTTGGGTGGAAAAAGATTTGTGACGTGGCTGCGAAAGCTTTTGCGAGGAACCGATCAGGCTGGCGAATATTGCGCGATGCAGTATTCTCCATGATTGCCTCCGTAGATTGCTCGAGCCGCGGGCTTGATTGGCGAAGCGGCTGACATCCAGAAATTGCCAGCGCATAGACTTCCCGCCATCTCATTTGTTCCTGTCAGCGCTTCAGTACACGTGTAAGGCATTTTTGTCCACGTGTTCGTACCTCAGTGGGTCTCCTCGGGTCTCCTTCCAATTAGCCAGCGCTTATATCTAGGCAAAAACATGCGCTGTCAGACGTCACGATTGCATGACCATCTAGTGCCTATACAGGGTACAGAGTCAAATCGGGATCCCAAGGTAACAAGCAGCTCATGATCACATCATGCCCACAATGTTTAACTACATACGGTATGGGTAGTAATAACATAATGAAAAAACAAAGGGTGCATATAGAAACTCGTTTGACTGGACTAAGTTTGAAGCGCATAGTACGGGTAATGATCATATCATGCCCACAATGATTCCTTTCTTTGAATCATCCCTACTTTATTTGGGACCACCTGTTTGCTTCTTGCAAATGTTTGCTACCAGTACCAGTTAGCATAGGCAAATAAGCACAGCAATGCATTGCAGCATGAGTTGGCCAAGTGACACATTCACTAGGTAGAGTGTGAGTCAGCTTTCTGACTTTTATTTGGGTGCACGCACCTCCTCAACTATCATATTTACTCTCTTCTGTTGCCCTAGGTCCAACTAATCGCTATGCTGCTCCCTCTCCTTCCTCATCGTCTCCTCCCTCTCCCTGTCCTTCGCCATATCCCGCTTCTTGTTCTTCCGAAACCCCTTCAGATTACTCCGCCACTTGCAATGCGACTGCTGCGGAGCGCACAACTCCCTCCTCGGATCCGTAAGTGTGAAATTCCAGTACTCAGGCGGCTGATTCTCCTCCATTAGCAGCTCCATCCTGTACTCGATACCAGCCTTGTCGTTATTCTTAGGAAGACAGTGCGCCTGCAGCTCCTCGGGCATCGAATCGTGCAGCGTAAACCACAGCTTATGCGCGCCGTGATGCACAAACCGCCGGTGCGTGTTCATAACTATGTTACAGTCGAAGTCGCGGTAACACCGCCAGGGTTTCTTGCCCAGGAAATGCAGCGCGTGAATCGTGGGCGGATCGGACGCGATGAGCGAGTTTAGGGTTTCCGTTTCGAGCTCTCGCTTGGGGCCGTCGTCCGCGTTGATATATTTGAGCGTGTTTATGGACTTGGGCAGGCGGTGCCACCAGTAAAACACATCGTTCACGAAGCCCTGTGGCGGATAAAAGGGAGTTCGGGGTGGGAAGCAGGTAGAAGAGAGATGAGCATGGAGGTCAGATCGTATGTCCCGAGTGCCATGAGCAAGCTCGCACAAATGTTTCCAGAACGAGGCGAGGTATGAGATTACGGAGAGCAGACACACTCGATGCGCCAGTACTAACCTGATCGCCGCCGTTGTAGGACTGAATTAGTTCAATGTTTTCCATCATAAGCTCGAATGTACACTGCGATGGCTCGATCACCATCACGCCCGAGTTGAAGAAGCGCCGGCTGTTGCTGCGCGCCGACAGCTCGGGGTACTCGAACAGGTGGTCCATGTTCCTTAAAACGAGGATATCGGCGTCCACGAACACCACCTTCGCGTACTCCGTCAGCTGCCACAATCGGAGCTTGCTGTAACGGGGCGATGCCGGACATACAGGGAGGGTGGAGAGAGCAAATTTGTTCACATGTGCTAGTAGCATTAGAAGGCGGTAGCAACCGAAGGAAATGCCATCCACATTTGTGCTGGCAGAAGTTGAGAAGTATGACTAAACCGACAAGCTGATAAGCCGATAAGTCGTACCTGTAGTTCCACTGGTTGTACGTGCCCGCGCGTCCAAACGGATTGCGAATCCTCTCAATCTCGATCAGCCGCCACCCCGCCGCCTCTAGGCCTCCGCGGCTGAAGTTCCCGATCTCCGCGGAGACCAGCGCTACCAGCTCCGCGCGCGTTCCGCTCCGCCGGAGGCTGTTCGCCAGCGCGATCGCACCGCACACGTAATCCTCCTTGCTGTGAAGCACTGTAGCGTACGCGACTCGGTTCGCAGCGGCCGGCTGCTGACCTGGCAGCAGCTGGGGTTCCGGGGTGGCGAGCGCGCAGTTCCCGACGGGCTGCAGCCGGCGGCGCATGTCGGCGACCGTCAAGTTAAACAGCCAGACGGGCCCGTCGCGGTGTACAAGCCGGTTGCAATGGAAGAGGTTGGGCGGCGGGCGGCAGTCGGAGAGAACGACAACGGGCATCCAGGGGCGCGCGGACTGGGGGGGACGGGAGAGAATGGGGGACGGGGGAGCATGGGGGACGGGGGAGGAAGGTAGTGAGTGAGCGGTGTAAGAGGGCGTCGGAGAAAACGATCGCGGGCATGTGAGGTGGGGGGGAAGGGGGAGGTGCGATGACGGTAACTTTCAAGGAGCGAGACAGGGAGAGAGAGACAGAGAGTGGGTGAAAGCGCGAACGGCGGTTTCGGGGACAACGATTGCGAGCATTCAGTATGGACAAAGGACCAGGAGACGGCGGCCAAAACGGAAAATGAGAGCGAGAGTGCCCCAAACTCACCTGCTTGATATACTCGGCGACAGTAAGCACCAGGTGGTGCCATCTCACGTCCCTCGCGAACGACCCGTTCACTGGCTGGCACGGCATGTGTGCGATCATGGCGTCGACCGTGCGAAGGTCCTGCGGCCATTCGGGCAGCGGCAGCTTCGGGCACTGCGGCGTTGGGTCGTCGTCGAACCGATCCGCAAAAATATCATCCCACGTTAGGTCTTTAAGAAGCGGCGGCGCGGCGAGCGGGACGAGTTGAAAGCCCGCCTGCTTAGTCTGCTTGATGATTCTTCTGTCGACGTTGAACGCCGCGACGCGCGTTATTCTAAACGTCTTCCATTGAATATGTCCTGGTTGTTGCTCCTTGAGCTCCGCGTTTTCCGGCGGCGATAGCGGAGGGGGATACTGGTCTTCCCACCATTGAAGCGTCGCCAGCCCGCGAGTAAAGACCTCCACGTGGCTGGGACTGATTGGCCTCATCATGATTGAGAGAGCGTCGTCAACAACCGTCGGATTGAGGAGGATGAGAGAGACGAGGAGGGAAGCGACGGCGATTGCCGCCCATTGACCCATGCGATTGGGTGGCGGCTGCTGTAGCCCCTTTAATGGCTTCTGCGGGTCGAGGAGCCATCGGTCGTAGGACTTGGACTTGGAGAGTTTTGCGATGCCTCGAGGAGCGAAAGGATCCTCTGGCGATTGCTCCATGATAGTGCGAGGAAGACGAGAGCTGGTAATTCGTCTGTCAATTTTGACGACTTGTATCTGCTTCTAGATGGACAGTCGTCGTTAGTACGTCTGATGGCTCTGAGGTTTCAAATGTCGTTAGCGACAACAATGAGGCTATTAGGGAGATGGAAGCCAGAAGCACTTCGAACCAAGGCAATGTAGCAACAGCGGCGTTGCGACTGCCTGTGTGATAAGCAAATCCGAATTGGCTATTGAAGGTGCTGTGCCGACAGTGGAAATAAGCAACAGTTCAGCCAGACATTGCCCTCACGAATCAGGAACGCATTGTTCGGAACAGCGCTGCGAAATATCCGAACCAAGCAGCACTAGTATTCGCTTACTGTTCGTCGGATCTGGTTTAGTTCGTTTCTTCAAGATAAGACACGGTTCTACTGCATTACCAGTAGCACCGAATTAAACCGTGATAAATAAGAGATTACTAACCGCGCTTGACACCCAACGAACCTCAACAAGCCCCGCACGGCCCACTCGCGTCGAATCATGTGTGTCCTTCAAGCCCCATACCTGCCGAACCGCATGTGCACGTCGGAAAATTCGCTCCGCAAGCTCCTCGTTGGATCTAACCAGAACGCAAAGCTCGACTCCGCTGGTTGCGGAAAGCCTCTCGCGCCTCGTCGCAGGTGGTGCTAGCAACTCGAGCGGGGCGCAGCAATTGAACATTGTGATTGGTTAAATTATGGTAACCCTCCAATGCTGGCACGAACTGTGCGCTCCAAGGGTGTGCTCGTCGAACCATTCCGCGCGCTCCACGAATGGCGGGTGTGCCGTCAACGAAAAACGGCAGCTGTCTAGTCAAGAAAGCAGGTGAATCGTCGAGCATGATGGGTTTGCGAAATTGCGACGTCCCAGACCCTTCGCATGAGAAGGAGGGAAAGGTACGTGGTGGGTGTGGCGATTCCGTCGTGCTGGCTTTCGCAGAGACGGCATACAATTCGACATATCCATCTTCATTAGCGCAGCTCGCTCGTCTTCGCGAGAGTAGCTGTTACAGTGAAAAAATAGTGTTTTGTCTAGACTGCGTCTACACATGCTTGACCACACCTCACTGGAAACACTCTACATTAACGAAATGAATGCGAATTACCCAACCGCAAACGTCGCCTCGTCAGAAACCAGGCAACCCAATTAATATTTGACATACGCTTTTGAATAAAAGATGAGGCATTCGAGCACCATCCACAAGCAAATTGCAATTCATATCAATAGCAGCATAGCAAAACCGCTACCCTCACCTCACCCTACCCTCCCTCTTCCAGACCGTAGTCTTCCCCAAAGTATGTGTCGACTAGATAGCTTGACATGGAGTGTAGCTCCTCGTTGCCTACATATTGAGCTGCTTCTATCGCATCAATGCCGTCAGCCTCCTCCACCAGCCGGGGGCCTCTTTTGTCTGGTAGTACACGCAGAACCTACACAATGCGACGAAATTACATATGGGGAAACCACGCAGAGTTGTAACGCGGACTTCTGAGGAACAGGCCTCGAATACGATAGCATGCATGTGTGCATGTGTGTGACTGTATGGCTCTACATGCATGTGTCCATGAATGCATGTGTGTGTGAGTGCATGTGTGTGTGAGTGCATGTGCGTGTGAGTGAGTGCATGTGTGTGCGAGTGTATGTGCGTGTGAGTGCATGTGTGTGTGAGTGCATGAGTGTGTGAGTGCATGTGTGCGTGGGTGCATGTGTGTGTGAGTGCATGTGTGTGTGTGAGTGCATGTGTGCGTGAGTGCATGTATGCGTGAGTGCATGTGTGCGTGAGTGCATGCGTGCGTGAGTGCATGTGTGTGTGAGCGCATCCGTGTGTGAGTGCATGTGTGTGACTGTGTGCGCATGTGTGTGTGAGTGCGTGTGCGCGCGTGTGTGAATGCATGTGTGTGTGTGTGTGTGTGTGTGTGAGTGCATGTGCGTGTGTGAGTGCATGTGTGACTGAGTGCATGTGTAGTGTGTGAGTGCGTGTGCATGTGTGAATACATGTGCATGTGATCGCACGTGTGCGTGTGTGCGCCACACATCCAGACTTGTTGCTCCAGCCCATACCTTACTGCCAATACCCTCCCACTACACACCTTACCCTTCCTTCCCCCACCCTGCCTCCGTGCGCCCTCCCTCCATGCACCTCACCATTACAGCAAACTGCCACCTCAGTCGTGCAGCAGCGGCACCTTCTCACACACCTCCTCACCACCACGCACCTTTCCGCACCCGCCACCGCACACCGTCCTGTACCCCTCCTCACCACTTCAGTGAATTGCAGGCCGAGCCGCACAGCGTCGGCATCAGCGGAGCGGATGAGGGAGAGGACGGGCGGCAGGCACCCCCAGGTGCAGCGGCACCAGCCACAGCAGCACTCTTACCACCGCGCACCTTTCCACACCCTTCCCCACCACCGTGCACCTTCTCACCACCCCATACCTTCCCACACCCCTCCTCACCACTTCAGTGAACTGCAGACCCAGCCGCACAGCGTCAGCATCTGCTGAGCGGATGAGGGAGAGGAAGGGCGGCAGGCACCCCGCGTCCACTAGTGCTGCCACGCGCGACTGCTGGACCGCCACGTGGCGCTCCCCCATTGGCTCTTGCTCCGCCGGATCCACACAGAGATTCGCTGCCAGAACGTGAGATTAACACGGGTTTGATATTAAGGTCTGAAACGGTTGACAAACGAACGGCGGGAGACAGGAGAATGGCTGAAAGAGAGTCACGATGACACTGCAGAGTGAGGACGGAAAAACTCGAGCAGAAAGGTGAGAGCAAAGCAAAAACTCGGACCCTGACTGCATGCACCCCAGCAAATGGGTACTCTTCTGTGAATTCCCCTCAAAATTCCAGCACAAGGGTATTCTTGAAAATTTCCCGGAATAGCCAGCACAAGCACAAACCGCAACATCACTGACCGAGAGCGAAGGCGACTTCTCTCTTGATGTCGAAGGGTGCCGTGCGGAGCAAGTGCACGAGCAGCTGGTATGAGCTCAACATGACTGACCGAGAGTCAAGGGCCGACTGACTGAGAGCAAGGGCGAGTGACCAAGAGCAAAAATGACTGACCAAGAGCAAAAATGACTGACCAAGAGCAAAAATGACTGACCGAGAGCAAAAATGACTGACCGAGAGCAAAGGCGACTTCTCTCTTGATGTCAAAGGGTGCCGTGCGGAGCAAGTGCACGAGCAGCTCGTATGGCCTTTGAGACGTCTCAATACCAACCTTTTGTAGCATGCCACAGTGCTACTGACCGAGAGCAAGGGCGACTGACCGAGAGCAAAGGCGACCTCTCTCTTGATGTCGAAGGGTGCCGTGCGGAGCAAGTGCACGAGCAGCTCGTATAGCCTCGACGCCTTGCCTGCTTCTCCCATCCCCCCTGTGTCTCCACCAATCACAGCCGCCTTGTGCCAGCTGTCGCCAGCTGTCACGTTGGACACCGCCCACGCTGTCTCCTGCAGGAGCGCATATGAGGATAACAGAGGCGCCTCAGATCAGAAAAGTTTCACGGGAAAATGTTTAGGTGCCTCTAAAAGGCGACTTTCTCACGTGCCTCACAGAGCTGTGCTGTCTGGTTGGACCCCCCCCCATGCTGTCTCCGGTTGGAGCGTCTGCCGGGGCGCGTGCGGGAGGATATTCAAGGCGTCTTAAACAGGACAGCTCTTGAGGCGCCTCAGGATTAACTTTTGAGTCGACTCAAAAGTCTGCAGGGGCGCGTGCGGGAGGACATTCAAGGCGTCTTAAACAGGACAGCTCTTGAGGCGCCTCAGGATTACCCAGCTTTCATGTCAGACACAGCTGGCGCTGACTCCCCAATGCACGCACAAAGAGGAGCAGGCGACCGGGGGTTTGTTACCCATGTTTCTTGCACACTCCAGGGTAGATATAAGTGTGTGTGAGCGTGCACACGCGCGCGGGTGCATGCGTGCGTGCCCTCTTTCAAAAACCGTGGTGTTTAGTTTTCACGGCAACCCACAAGTCCAATTAACCCTTTCCGCCGCTGCTGCTGCTGTTACACCATCAGCCGCCCCTCTCTCACCTTCTTCAGCCCATGGTGTTTGTTCTCAAGGCACTCCGCCAGTCCAGATAACCCAGGGTGGTGGGGCCACCACAGCTGCTGCTGCCACTCTCCTTCCACTCCACCTTTCACCTGATTCACACCCCCACCACTTCCAGCCCACCCCCTCTCACCATCATCCACCACCCCTCTCACCTTCTTCAGCCCATGGTGCTTGTTCTCAAGGTACTCCGCCAGTCCACACAGCCCTGGCCCTGCCGCTGCTGTTGGTGTTGCTGATGCAGTCACTCTCCTTCCACCGTTTACCTTCTTCACTTCACCCCAACACCACTTCCATCCGACACCAACCCCTTCCGTCCCATGGCAAACCCTTTCTCCTCTCACCTTCTTCCACCTCCCTTCTCACCATCTCCCATTCTCCCCTCTCACCTTCTTCAGCCCATGGTGTTTGTTCTCAAGGCACTCCGCCAGTCCACACAGCCCTGGCCCCGCCGCTGCTGCTGCCACCACGCCCGAAGGGGCCGGGACGGGAATGGGTTGGGCTGTGGTTGGGCGCATAGAGAGGAGAGGTGGAGGGGAATAGAGGAGGTGGGGTGGGTAATGGGAGTTGAGATAGCTCGACAATTCGGTGACACTTTGGTGATAGCAGACGAGGTAGGGTCAACTCGGCTGCTGTTGGCATGGCAGCCAGACCGATTCGGCTGCTGCTGGTGCTGCTGCCATCAGGTGGGTTAAGCTCTTGCAGGAGGGGTGGAGAAGAAAGGTGGGTGAAAGGTTAAGGGTTAGGCAGCAGCGCACAGGGAGGAGCAGCACACATACTCTCGTGGTGGAACACCTAAACGGATTGAGAGGGATGCAGAGCGGTTGGTTTGGAACAAAGAGGATGTACCTTGAAAGGGCGTGCCAGCTGTCAGAAGGCGGGAGGTTCTGCTGGAGTCTCCTGCTGTCAGGTTGCCTATCGCCCGCACCACCTGGGGTGAGAGTGGATGAAAGAAAAGCAGCACATGCAGATGTTGTGCATGCAGGTAAACCCAGGCAAATCAAGGTGTTGTGGTATTGCGATGATGTGACGTGCTATACAGAAGGACAAGCAGATACTTGGCTTGTGGATGAGGTTTGAGAGAGGAGAGAATGAGGAAACATGGGTTGAATTGAATTGAGACCAAGAGTAAGAGAGGAAAGAGGGAGCGAACAGAGGAGAAAGGGGGCAGAGAGAGGACAGAAGTGAACGGAGAAAGGAGGAGACGGAGAGACAGAGGTGAGAAGAGTGTACGGGAGTGAGGAGGGCGGCGTCAGAGGAGGGCGGCGTCAGAGGCACGAGCGTCTCTATGAACCCGGCAGCAACGAGCAGACAAGGACATGGTGACTCAAGTCACGGGAGTAGTGTGTGTGTGGTGCATACAGGAGTGAGGAGGGCGACGCCAGCGGTGGCGGAGAGCAGAGGCACGAGCGCCTCTATGAGCCCGGCAGCAACGAGCAAGGCAGGACAGGGTGACTCAAGGCAGGTGATGAGTGGTTGCACGCATGGGCAGTGGGCAGGGCGACGTCAGAGGTGGAGGAGAGCAGAGGCACGAGCGCCTCTACCAGCCCGGCTGTGACGAACAGACCAGGACACGGTGACTCAAGCATGGGCCGAGGCACATACGGGAATGAGCAAGGCGACGTCAGTGGTGGCGGAGAGCAGAGGCACGAGCGCCTCTACCAGCCCGGCTGTGACGAACAGACCAGGACACGGTGACTCAAGCATGGGCCGAGGCACATACGGGAGTGAGCAAGGCGACGTCAGTGGTGGCGGAGAGCAGAGGCACGAGCGCCTCTACCAGCCCGGCAGCAACGAGCCTCTCTGTGCTCGTGTCTGACAGCGCTGTCACGTATGCTGCCACCCACGCTGCCTCCACTGCTGCCTCTGCGTTGCTGAGAGGGTGGGGAGGGAGGCAGGCACAGGGGGGTGAGGGACGGCAGCAACGAGCCTCTCTGCACTCGCATCCGACAGCGCTGTCACGTAGGCTGCTACCCACGCTGCTTCCACTGCCGCCTCTGCGTTGCTGAGAGGGGGGAAGTTTCATCCGAGAACAGATAGGGCCAGAAATAGGAGAATGGAAAAGCCAGATAATATCGGGTCCGTCTGACAGACCCTATCTGCCAGATTACATCGGGTCTGTCTAACAGCGCTGCCACATGTGCTGCCCTGCCACCCACGCTGCTTCCACTGCTGCCCCTGCGCTGCTGAAAGAGTGAGGAGGGAGAGGCACAGGAGAGTGGAGTGCGAGAGACATCGGGTCTGTCTGACAGCGCTGCCACATGTGCTGCCCTGCCACCCACGCTGCTTCCACTGCTGCCCCTGCATTACTGGTTGGTTGAAAAGGGAGAGGCATAAGGCGGGTGGTGAGGGGGAGAGGCACAGGTGGGTGGGTGGGCAGCATATTGGGGATGCACATCGGAATGGAGAAAGAGGGAGAAGATCATGCATATTTGGGCGAGTGCTGAGTGTGAGTGCCGAAAAAAAGATCATGCATATTTGGGCGAGTGCTGAGTGTGATAAGTCGACTTATCACACAAGATCATGCATATTTGGGCGAGTGCCGAAAAAAAGAGTGGATAGAGGGAAAACATAGAGAGAGGGGAGACGTGCAGCAGACGTGATGTGATGCATGTACACCACTCGCCACCTCTTTTGAGAATTCTTTCAAAAGACGCAGTCAGCCTGAAATTCCCCTCCCTCGATTTTATTATAGAATTCTAAAAAAACGCGATGCATGTACACCACTCGCCACCTCTTTCTTATCGGAGGAAACACCCTCCACCTTCTCACTCTCTCCGCACTCCCACTCTCTCTGCACTCTCACATTCCCAGCATCCCTCCCTACCCTGATGATAGAAGGGCCACAATCGCTGCATCCACACCGTCGGATTTCACCAGATTAACGGCTGCGCGGGGGCTGGGGCCCTGGGGAGGTGCACAGGGGAGTGATAGGGAACACGAGAGAGAGATGCTTAGGCAGGTACTTTTGAGGCGCCTCAAAAACAGACGCGCAGGGGAAGAACGGGGTGTACGAGAGAGAAAGTGACGCACACGGGGGAGTGGAGGGAGGGGGGGTGAGGGGAGGGAACACGCGGAGAGGGACGCACACATGCGGGGGGACACCCACCTTAATAAGTGAAGTGAGAGAGAGAGAGAGCCCACGCCAACATCCTGCGCAGCGATGCCATGGCTGCTGGCGCCTGTGCTGTCAACCACCGCCCCGCACTCTTTCGTGATGTAACATCTGTGAGAGACGTACAGGTGAGGTGAGCCCATCCCAACACCCACCCCACCCGTCCAAACGCTCACCCCACCAAGCACTCACCTTGATGAGCGAAGACAGAGCCCACACCACTGTCTTGCACAGCGATGCCATGGCTGCTGGCGCCTGTGCTGTCAACCACCGCCCCCCTGTGCTGCCCCCACCACCAGCAGTGAGGGAAGAGGCAGCAGCGAGCAGGAGGCGGGTGAGGGCGGGCAGAGCGCCTTGGTCCAGCAGGTGTGCTCGCAGGTCGTCTGCCTCTGCTGCTATGTTTCCCATCCCACCCCACCGCCCACCCACTGCCCACTCACCTTAATAAGGGATGACAGTGCCCATGCCACCGTCTTTGCCAGTGATGCCATTGCAGAGGGCGCCTGTGCCGTTAACCAGCGGGCCCCCGTGCTGCCCCCCCCAGAGGCAGCAGCGAGCAGCAGGCGAGTGAGGGCAGGGAGGGCGCCCTGATCCAGCAGCTGTGAGAGAGGTCATAACGAGGCCATTCCGTAGAGTTCTCAGTACTCACCTTGATGAGAGAGGAAAGCGCCCACGCCACTGTCTTAGCCAGTGATGCCATGGCAGATGGTGCCTGCGCTGTCAGCCAGCGGGCCCCCGTGTTGCCCCCAGTAGCAGTAGTAGCAGCGGCGAGCAGCAGGCGAGTGAGGGCGGGCAGAGCGCCTTGGTCCAGCAGGTGTGCTCGCAGGTCGTCTGCCTCTGCTGCTATGTTGCCCACCGCCCACACACACTGCTCCGCTATCGCTGGCGACGGGGAGTCTGATAGTGAACAGGAGGGGGAAAAGGGAGGGGAAAAAAGGGGAAGCAGGGGACGAGTAAGGGGGAGTGCGTCTGCCTCTGCTGCTATGCTGCCCACCGCCCACACACACTGCTCCGCTATTGCGGGTGACGGGGAGTCTGATGGTGGCAAGGAGGAGAAAGGGGGAACAAACGACGAAACACGCAAGAAACTTCGTGACGTATCTGCGTTGATTTGGGAGTGGTTGGGTTGGGTTGAGTTGAGGTGGTTGATTAGGGTTGGGTTCGCACTCTCTCGTGAGACAGGCAGCAACGATGAGAGCAGACGGTGAGAGGGGACAGTGGGGAGTGTGAGTGAGGCAGTGAAAGAGGGAGTCAGTGAATGAGGAAGTGAGTGAGTGAGTGAGTGGTACCATACCAGTGCAGTGGGCGATGAGCAGAGCAGCACAGGGCAGCACGGCACGTGTCTCCTCCGCCTCCCCCGATGCTATGTTGGTCACACACCACGCTGCCTCCAGGAGCTGATGGGAAACGGAAGGGGGGATGAAAAATGGAGGGGAGGGGACAGAGTGGAGGACAGGACACTGGGCCACACATCACGCTGCTGCTGAGTCGACTCAAAAGTCACCTCGTTACAATGGCACAGGACACTGGGCCACACATCACATCACGCTGCTGCTGAGTCGACTCAAAAGTCACCTCGTTACAATGGCACAGGACACTGGGCCACACATCACATCACGCTGCTGCTGAGTCGACTCAAAAGTCACCTCGTTACAATGGCACAGGACACTGGGCCACACATCACATCACGCTGCTGCTGAGTCGACTCAAAAGTCACCTCGTTACAATGGCACAGGACACTGGGCCACACATCACATCACGCTGCTGCTGAGTCGACTCAAAAGTCACCTCGTTACAATGGCACAGGACACTGGGCCACACATCACATCACGCTGCTGCTGAGTCGACTCAAAAGTCACCTCGTTACAATGGCACAGGACACTGGGCCACACATCACATCACGCTGCTGCTGAGTCGACTCAAAAGTCACCTCGTTACAATGGCACAGGACACTGGGCCACACATCACATCACGCTGCTGCTGAGTCGACTCAAAAGTCACCTCGTTACAATGGCACAGGACACTGGGCCACACATCACATCACGCTGCTGCTGAGTCGACTCAAAAGTCACCTCGTTACAATGGCACAGGACACTGGGCCACACATCACATCACGCTGCTGCTGAGTCGACTCAAAAGTCACCTCGTTACAATGGCACAGGACACTGGGCCACACATCACATCACGCTGCTGCTGAGTCGACTCAAAAGTCACCTCGTTACAATGGCACAGGACACTGGGCCACACATCACATCACGCTGCTGCTGAGTCGACTCAAAAGTCACCTCGTTACAATGGCACAGGACACTGGGCCACACATCACATCTTGCTGCTGCTGAGTCGACTCAAAAGTCACCTCGTTACAATGGCACAGGACACTGGGCCACACATCACATCACGCTGCTGCTGAGTCGACTCAAAAGTCACCTCGTTACAATGGCACAGGACACTGGGCCACACATCACATCACGCTGCTGCTGAGTCGACTCAAAAGTCACCTCGTTACAATGGCACAGGACACTGGGCCACACATCACATCACGCTGCTGCTGAGTCGACTCAAAAGTCACCTCGTTACAATGGCACAGGACACTGGGCCACACATCACATCTTGCTGCTGCTGAGTCGACTCAAAAGTCACCTCGTTACAATGGCACAGGACACTGGGCCACACATCACATCACGCTGCTGCTGAGTCGACTCAAAAGTCACCTCGTTACAATGGCACAGGACACTGGGCCACACATCACATCACGCTGCTGCTGCTTCTCGGAGCTGGTGGGAAAAAAAGGGAGGGAACAACACACCTGCTCCCATCCCCCCTCCCCTACACCTGCTCCTCCCCTCACTCCTCTCCCCCACTTGCTCCCCTCCACCCACCCCACCTGCTCCTCCGGGGCTCCGAACGCCAGGCACTCCGCCAGCAGAGGCACGGCACCACAGCGCACTGCATTCTACCCCGTCCCTTCCCCACCCCAACCCATCCCCCCCCCCCCTGTGCTTTCCCCCACACCTGCTTCCCTCCCCCCATTCCAACCCCCCACCTGCTCCTCCGGGGCTCCAAACGCCAGGCACTCCGCCAGCAGAGGCACAGCGCCGCAGCGCACGGCAGCGCCAAGTGGCTGGCTGTAATTGGCCGAGAGCAGCTGGCGCAGCGCCTTGAGCGCCTCCACCCTCTCCTGCTGCACTGCTGTCCCGCCCGCTCTTGCGGTGCTGCGAGTGGGAGGGTGGGAATGAGTATGGGGGGTGTGAGAGGAGGGGACAAGAGGAAGGATTGGGGTGAGACGTGGGTCGGGGAAGGCACAATCGCTTGAGCGCCACCACCTTCTCGTGCTGCACCGCTGGCCTGCCTGCTCTGGCCCGTGCTGCTAGTGGGAGGGAGGATGGCGATGGGGATGGGGATGGTGGTGAGAGGGAAATGGAGAGAGAGTTGTGAGTCCATCTCACAAGTCGACTTGTGCGATGACTTGGGAGGGAGTGGTCCCTAGAGCCACCCACGCTCTCATGCTGCACGCGCTTTTGTGGCGCCTCAAAAGTCGTCTATGTTCACGCGCTTTTGAGGCGCCTCAGAAATGGAGAGAGTCCCTCTCCTCACAAGTCGACTTGCGAGATGACTTGGGAGTCGTCCCTAGAGCCACGCTCTCATGCTGCGCGCCCTCTGGCGGCGCTGCGAGTGGGAAGATGGGAATGGGCATGGGCTTGCGGGTGCGGGTGCGGGTGGGGGTCGGGTGGGGTGGGGTGGGGTTGGAGGAGATGAGAAAGGTGGACAGAGTCACAGAGACAGCATGGTTGGCCCTCCTGTTGACTTGTGAGTCAAATCAAGAGCCACCCTCTCAAACTAAGAAAACGGGTAGAAAGCTGCAAGCTCGGTTCGACCGACCTGACTAATCTGATCAAATCACTGAGTAGTACTAGGCGAGAACACGTGTAGGTAAGCGTAGTAGTATTAATCGGTAGATTACAAGTGGTTCAGAAAACGTACGCGCGTTTTGGCTTGTGAGTCAAATCAAGAGCCACCCTCTCGTGCTGTATGGCTGAGCTGACCCTCCTGCTCAGCTGGGAGTGGAGCCTCGCCTCTTTTAGAGGTGACTCGAAATTCCACTCACCCTTCTGCCTCGTAATCGCCTCCTACACTCGCCCGTTCTCTTTTTGAGGCATCTAGAAAATACACTCACCATCCCAACGTCACTCACCCAATGTCAAACGTGCCCTTGCGTCGCCTAACCGCCTCCTCCACTCGCCCCTCTCCTTATGAGGTGCCTCAAAGCTCCACTCACCCTTCATCCACCACTCACCCTTCATCCACCACTCACCCTTCATCCACCACTCACCCTTCATCCACCACTCACCCTTCATCCACCACTCACCCTTCAACCACCACTCACCCTTCAAACGTGCCCTTGAGCCTCTTAACCGCCTCTTCCACTCGCCCCTCCTCCTCCACCCGCCTCCTCTCCTCCTCCTCCTCGCCCTCCCCCTCCCTCCCCTCCACCTCCATCCCCCCCTCCAACCCCCCCAACCCTTCCCCCAAGGCAATCCCCTCCCCCCGCCTCATCCGCTTAGCGCGCACCAGCGCCCCCCGCCTGTCTTTTGATATAGCTGCTACCACTCCTCGCCTTTTTGCTGCTGCAGCCGCCGTGGCTGAGGTGAGAGGGGGGAATGGGGGATGATAAGGAAGAATTGCGGTTGGAAAAGGGGCAAACCAGGAGCATCCATGTGACGCGCACCAGCGCCCCCCGCCTGTCCTTGGATATAGCTGCTACCACTCCCCGCCTTCTTGCTGCTGCTGCCGCCGTGGCTGGCACGGGGAAGGGGGAGGGGTGTAGGGTGTGGACACACATGGGGTTGGGCGGGGGCGAATGAGGCTCATCCGCTTGGCGCGCACCAGCGCCCCCCGCCTGTCCTTGGATATAGCTGCTAACACTCCCCGCCTTCTTGCTGCTGCTGCTGCTGCTGCTGCTGCTGCTGCTGCTGCCGCGGAGGCTGGCACGGGAAGGGGCATGGGGCTGTAGCCTACATCCCGACTTTTGAGTCGACTCAAAAGTCAGCACGGGAAGGGGCATGGGGCTGTAGCCTACAACAACCCGCAAGCCTCTCTTTCGCACTGTCGCCTATGGGTGAATGTGGGAAGGGATGGATCGGGGCTGGGTGAAGGAGGGAGAGGAAGGTACTGGAGAGGCTTTGGAAAGAGTGGACCCTGTTTGAAAAGGTTTGAGAATTAAGGGAATATAAGTACGGGTGATGAGGAGTTGCAAAGGAAAGTAGAAGTGCTATGGTTAACATCAAACGGAAGGACTTTTGAGAAGAACCCGGGGCAGGGGAAAGGGGGGAAACGGGGGGGAGAGTGGGAGGAGAGAGGGAAAAAGGAGGTGAAGTGCCATATCATGCTACATCTGCTGTGGCTGGTGGGAGCGAAGCGGGATATAGTGTGCCGTGAAAGCGTCGTTGCGCGTCGTACCAGACTGCTTGAAAAGATCGCGCCGATTCGCATGACCGTGGAGATGCGACTGCGACGGCGACGGCGGCCCGTGCGACTGCATGGCGACAGAGCGATGAGTTTATTCGTCGTCAGGTAGTGGTGAAAAAGTGTCGGAGAACGCACAGGACGACTGAGGTCAGCACACTAGGAATCTAAAGACTCGACTTAAAGACCGAAATCGCGGCTAGTAGCAAATGGCCTCCTGACTCGCCTCTTCCACTCCGCCTCAACTTATGGCTCGCTGTTTTTGAGTTCCCAAGATTCTGGCGTCAGCAGGACAGGCATGGCGGCCAGCTGCACTCGGATGCCCCCATGGAGCGACTCTTTGTTGGATATAGAAACCGCAGGAATCTCAGTGGGATTTCATAAATTTATGCATAACGGGTTTAAAAAATTTCTGCATTAGGGTGCGATTTTGGTTTCACACATAAGCGCTTGAAGATCCCTGGACGGAGTGTACTTGAAGCTTCTTGATCTTATGCCAGCATTTGGCTGACGCGTCGGAGCTCGTTGCACAACCCCATCCAGTGTTGCGCCCCCAAGTTTTCTCAAACCCAAGTGTACAGTTTGGTTGCTGCTTCTGTACCACGAGACTGACACTTAACAAAGCAGCGGGTGACAGCGAGTGGCGGAAGCAGCGGTACACACCGAGAATCAATTGAAACAGAACCTCGCACATTCTCCAAGCCTTTCAAGATTCAAATTTTCGAATTTGCAAATAACAAATTATCAGCTTCTGTTCTGTCCTCGGCGGCATTTGCATCAATTTCGCGCCATTCGCCAACACTCTTCCCCCTCCGAGCGCAATCGTCACCTGCACGAGTATTTGCCAGCCAGCAATGCAAATCCAGCCCCCCTCTCAAATTTCCAAGCGTGGTGGGGTTTGCTTGCATTCATCGGCTTCACTTCACTCACCCCGTTGAGCTCGAATATAGATACTAGTCTTTGAGGTGATGATAGAAGTTGAGCCATCAGATGCACAGGACGATGGTTTTCTGGCATTTCTAGTCTGCTTGTTTTAGAGACGAAAAGTTGCATCGACAGGTTTTGTTAGGCGCGTTCAGCACAAAGATTTTATTCGCCCCCCTAACGAAAGGAACGACTCCATTTTCGAGAATGAACGGCGCCGCGGATGGGTCGTGCGTGCTGCAGTTCGACGCGGCGACGGCGACGGAGTTCCTGCGGCTGCAGCGCGTGCTGATGCGGCAGGACGCGAGCCGCGCCACGAACGCCGACACGCTGTCGTGGCTGTTCGACGCCGCCAAAGGGCGAATCGACGAGCTGGTGTGGCGGGACGGCAAGCGCATCCGAATGACGGAGGATATTCGTAAGCGCGTTCTACCGAGGTGACTTTTCTGTCGATTCAGCAGTCGCGCAGATTCTTGTGAGACCTCAAAGGGCGTCTTAAGAGGGCGCTTAAAGAATACGGCGCGTGTATGAATGTGCTTTTTACCGTCGCGTAATATCCACGGCGCTCTCGTGAAACTGCCAATCTCGTCGCGCTCTGCCATTCGCCGTTCTGTAAATATCGCACAGTTTTGAGACTTCGTTTCCCACCGTGGGTGGGTAACCCGTCTCGAAAACTTCGCCCTCGTCGCGAATCTCCTTGTACTGTGGAAGGAATGAGAGGCACTCGTTGCCGCAGGGGCCGCTCTCCTCTATTTCACGCGATACCGATGCGCGCATTCAGTGTCGAAGGGCTCCTTTTTTCCGCTACCATGCTAGACCAAAAGTCCATACCAAAATTGCCAGAGATTGTTTGTTTGGGATAACCCCATACCATCTTGTCCCCACGTTCGTTTCGGCCCCATCCCCGCAGCGGACATCGCGGACATCCTCCCCGCGCACATCTGGCACATCATCTTCCGCCTCCTGCTGTTGCCGCCCGCCCGCCCCGACGAACCCGCCGACAACGCCGCCGCCGTCGGCGCCGCAACAGCAGCTGCAGCGGTAGCAGGCACCGGCGCCGCGCGGAGGAACCACGCCAACAACCGCCGCGCCACGTCGAAGCAGCAGCGGCGGGAGCAGCGGCAGCGGCAGCAGCAGGCACGGAAGCAGCAGGCACAGCAGCAGCAGCAGCAGCAGCAGCAGCAGCAGCAGCAGCAGCAGCAGCAGCAGCAGCAGCAGCAGCAGCAGCAGCAGCAGCAGCAGCAGCAGCAGCAGCAGCAGCAGCAGCAGCAGCAGCAGCAGCTGCAGCAGCATCAGGCGCGGCAGCAGCAGCAGGCGGTGAGGCGCGGCGCGGCAGTGGTGGTATTGAGGGACGCGCGGAGCACGTGGGGCGAGCAGCAGCGCAGCAAAGCGGCGAGCTACGGGCCCTCGTGGGCGCTGCTGTGCTGCGCGCTCGCCAGCAGGAGGCTGCTGCTCCACGTCCTCTCCTTCTCCGTGAGTGCTCTCCTGCCTACGCTGCTCTGCCAGCATTCCTCTTCCACTGCTGAACTTGTTGAGTGCTGTGAGCGTTGCACGGCTTGATATGTGTCTCACAAGCAATGGCTTTTATCGCCCGTGTCCGCTGGAAGAAACACACACAGCTAATCGCCACAACATGTCTAAAAACGTTTGACCAGCATCATAAACATAGAATTTCGCTCTGTGTGTGCCGTTTGAGTCGACTCAATAAGTCAATTTGTTGTGTGTATGCCGTTTACATACTTGTCGTCTCCATAAGCGTTGAGCACACGTCTCAATCAACCAAACAAATTGGATACGATAAGCATGCATGGCATGAAATGGGCGGCATTGTATGACATGAACTGGGCGGCATTGCATGGCATGAAATGGGCGGCATTGCATGGCATGAAATGGGCGGCATTGCATGGCATGAAATGGGCGGCATTGCATTCCATGACGTGCCTCACCTTTCACTCCCATCATTTCCTGCATCTTTCTCTTGCACGTCTCTCCGTTCTCTCTCCTTGCGCTCCCCTTCGTACCCCTCTTCTTGCAGGCCAACGAACCTACTGCTCCGGCGTTCAGCCACCGCCACCCCGGGTGGAGCAAGAGCGTGCTCTCCCTCCTCCGGTGGCCGCAGCACCACCTCTCCCTCACGTCCACCCACCCTCCCCACCTGCTCTCCCTCCGCCCCCACCGCACCCTTCTATTCCCCCTCTCGTGTATTTTCCTGCAGGCCAATGAGCCTACCGCCCTGGCATTCAGCCAGCAGCACCCCGAGTGGAGCAAGAGCGTGCTGTACCTTCTCAGGTGGCCGCACCACCAGCTCTCCCTCTCCTTCACCTCCCCTCCCCAACTTCGCTCCCTCGGGCCCCACATCGCATGCTCCCGCCGCAAGCTCTCCTCCCTCTCCCTCAAACTTCGACGCACGGTAGACGGAGACGAGGAGCAGGAGCAGGAGCACGCACAAGGAGCGCACTGGTCCCTTGCTTTCCTCAAAGACTGCTCGCAGCTGCACCAGCTGAACCTGGGCCGCGGCAAGTGGGATCTCACCAGCCAATGCGCCGATGCCACGTGGACGAAATCCCTCCGCTGCCTCACCATCAAGCACGTGGATTGGACCAACATCAACCTCGAATTCCTCAAGCAAATCACCCCGCAGCTTCTAGAATTCACGCTCTATGAGCCCGAGCCTTGCAGCAGCCTGGCACATGGCCCCCATGGGTCTCATGGGCCCCACGGAGCCCATTTCGGCGGCTATTCTACAGCCTCCCTCCACCACAGCCTCTCCTTCTCTTTCTACGTCGCCCACCTCCTCCGCTTCCGCTTCCCCCACTGCGATCTCAAGCCATCGCTCACCGTCTCCCCCACGCTCAAGACTCTGTCGGTGGTGGCCAAACGGCTGGTCCTCTCCTGCAAGAGCGTCGCGCCTCTCGATCTCGACCACCTCTCGCTGTACGGCCAGGATCGTCTCGTCATCTCCGCCCTCCGCCTCGCATCTGCACGAGTGGCCTACCTCAACGGCCCTCCCAGCGATGACCTCTCGTTCTCCTCCCCTCCGATGATTTATTCCCAGCTGCCTCTATACCTGCAGCACTTTCGCAGGGGGAGATCGTCCTTTTCTTGGAGCACTTGGTTGCGTGCGATTGCGCCTAAAGTGGAGGTGCTTATAGTGAGGCACGGGGTGCCTATAGAGAGGGTGAACGCGGTGTGGAGGAGCCTGCGCAGCCTTGGGATTGTCGTGGGCGGCAAGGTTTGTCACGACCCGGACTGGGAGGCTGCGGTGGATAGGTGCGATGAGTACGGAGGCGGCGAGGAAGCGGAGGATTATAACGAGTATCAGAGGGATGTGCAGCAGCACCAGCAGCACCTGCAGCTGCAGCAGCACCTGCAGCAGCACCTGCAGCAGCAGCAACAGCAGCCACCGCAGCAGCAGCAGCAGCAACCACTTCTGCCCCCAACCATCAAGGCTCCGAATCTCAAGTCCATTTTCTTCCCCACTCGCATGCCCTACGCCTCACGCCATCTTGCTGCCCTTCGCATGGGCTTCCCCTCCCTCGCGCTTTTCTGTGTCATTGATCGCTCGTACTACTGGGAGCGGAAGGGGATGAGGGTGATGGGTGGGCCTGTGGTGCATGTGAGGCAGGAGAAGAGCGGCGTGCTAAGGTGTCGGTTTGATGCGAAGAAACGGGCGAAGAATGTGAGGGAGAAGATGCACAGTGTGAATAGGGGGCTCGTGGAGGGGTATATTGGGGAGGAGGATGAGCGGCACATTCTGAAGTATCAAGGGCGACAGTAGTGGCGCATGCTGAGGTGACTCTTTGATGAGAAGAGGCATGCAATGCAAAGAAGATGCACAGTGTGAATGGGGGACTGGTGGAGGGGTACATTGGGGAGGAGGATGAGCGGCACATCCTCAAGTATCAAGGCCGATCTTAGTGGCGTGCTGCGGTGTCGGTTTGATTGGAAGAGGCATGCGAAGAATGTGAGGGAGAAGATGCACAGTGTGAATGGGGGGAGTGGTGGAGGGGTACATTGGAGAGTTGGACGAGCTTCATATCCTCAAGTATCAGGGGCGTTCCTAGGAGGGTACCGTTTCCCGCTTTGTTGAGAAGAGGGGTGCGAAGAATGTGAGGGAGATGAACAGTGTGACTGGGGGACTGGTGGAGGGATACATTGGAGAGTTGGACGAGCGGCATATCCTCAAGTATCAAGGGCGATAGTGGTGGTGCATGCTGCCTTTGTGTGCGAAGGGAGAAGAAGCTCAGTGTGAATAGGGGCCTGGTGGAGGGGTAGTGTGCTGAGGAGGATGAGCGGCATACTTTGAAGTACTGTATCAGGGGCGATTTGAGTGGCACAAGCTGCTTTGATGAGAAGAAGCGTGAGAAGAATGTGAGAGGGGAGACATATTGTGTGAATGGGGGGGTATTGTGCTGAGGAGGATGAGCGGCAAACTTTAGTGGCATGTGCTGGGTTCAAGTTTGATGTGCACGTTTAATTTATTATGCTTGGTGTGAATGGCAGAGTACTGGTAGAATGTCACTATATCGGTTAATCTTATGTACGGTACCAGTTCTACAATTTCAGTTATTCAGTGCTGTGGCAAAATGTTAGCACTGAAGAAGTCAAGCCAAACCTCTTTACATGTGGATGACCAGCAAGCAGCCTAGGTATCTCACCTTTGCCTTCATCTCCATCCACCTTGACCATCTGTCCTCTCCTCAAAGAAGCATCTCACACAAACAACGCAACTCACACCTGTGTAGCCTAGTAGTAGGTATGACTCCTTTTGCCCAGCCAGCTAACCTTCCCAACCGAATTCACAAAGAACATACAGTACTAGCTCAGAGGGACTGAATGAACCTTATTATCCAACTATCCTGCACCATGTCCTGGCTCATTTCATGGATAGCACAGCCTGCCCTCACCTGCATCACCGGCTCATGGCTCCGCTCCTTCCCTTCCCACTCCCAGCCAAACGACCGCCCATCAATGCAGTAGAATGTCAGGGACGGGAACTGCCTGCACAGAGAAGCCAGGGTTTTGAGCTCCCACTGTCTAGTGGCAAGAAAGATAGACTCCAGCTTTGGAGCGCTGATAAAGGGAGGGGTTACTATTTTGTGGTCTCAGCTGCTGCACTCTCTTTCCCCACAAAAACTGCTTCTCGTGGGGAAAACGCACCCAACATCCTCAATTGTATACATGTACCTAACCCCATCACCAAGCCTGCCATTAACACCAATGGCAAGGCAGCATAGGCGGCTCCACTCTGCATCCACGCTCTCCATAGGCCAGCCATGATTCACTATAAGCGTCTCCACTGTCGGAGCTATGCTGCTCAGTAGCTGCGTCAAGGGAAGCACACACAAGTCGCTGTGCTCTTCTTCTGGCCCGTGCAAAAACACAGTTTTGGCAGAAGCTAGTGGGAGCGAAACAATGTCAAGCTGCCAGCGGCCACTCAGGACGAGGGAGTCTAAAGAGAGAGGGCTGGTGCACTTGTCAGAATGTGATGTTTGTCTAGCCTGCAGTGGGGTACTCTATAGCGAGTACAGCCCAAATTAGGGTTTGCTATATGTACTCAACTGCCTGCTAGTGAAAACCCTTCTTTCCTGTTTCTGATTCTTGCCTAGTACTTCGACATGCTATCAGAGCAGGTCGACCCTCCTGGGTCGATCCTGTGGATGGGCCCGCCACCTAATGCTTCCGCTGCTGTCCTGCCTATCGCGCGCCCCGGGCGCGCGACGTGTTTTGCTTGCCGCGCGCTCAGGTGCACTGCGTATTTTTCATCCCGCCGCGCGCTCGGGACGCGCGGCGGTTTTCTGCCCGCCGTGCGCCCCGAGGCGCGCGGCGGTTTTCTGCCCCGTCGATCCGCGTGTCGCCCCCCGTCGCCCGTCGCAGCGCCCCCGGGGACCCGCGCGTCGCCCCCCGTCGCCCGTAGCGGCCCGCGCGACCTGCGCCAGGCCCGCGCGCGGCCCGTACAGCCCGCGCGCGGCCCGTATGGTCTGCGCCAGGCCTGCGCGCGGCCCGTACGGCTTGCGCCAGGCCCGCGCGCGGCTCGTACGGGCTGCGCCAGGCCCGCGCGCGGCCCGTACGGGCTGCGCCAGGCCCGCGCGCGGCTCGGGCAGCCCGCGCGCGGTTCGTCCGGCCTGCGCCAGGCCCGTGAGCGGCCCGTACCGTCTTCCCCAGTGCCGCACGCCGTCCCCCGAGCTTCTGACCGCGCTCCTGTGTTAGGGTTTGGGGGTGGAGAGTATGGGGGTGCCGTGTGTGTGAGCCGTCCCCTGCTCCTCCTCCTCCTCCTCCGTCTCCCACTGCTGCAGCTGCCGCTGAGGGGGGTGGATGTGTTGGAGCCGTCGGAGTGGTACGAGGGGGGTGGCGTGTGAGCGGTGCTAGTGGTTCAGCAGGGGGTGTGTGAAAGGGGTGTAGGACAGTTGGGGGAGGTTGACCGGAGGTAGCCGACTTGTCGTCCGCAGCGCCTGAAGTCCAGAGAGCCATGACCCCCTGTGGCCGTGTAGTCCGGGGCTTTGCGCCCGGTAGCCACAGTGTGAGCACTCCTGGTAGTCCAGAGAGTCACGACCCCCTGTGGCCGTGTAGTCCGGGGCTCTGCGCCCGGTAGCCACAGTGTGAGCACTCCTGAGAGCACAGTGAGCCAGCTGCGCCTGTCGCCGTGTAGCCCGGGTTTAGCCTGGTAGCGTCAGTGCTGCGCACTCCTGTTGCCCGTGTGTCTGCAGCTTCAGCCGTCGCCTCTCATCTTCTCGTCCTCCATAGTTTCTCCTCCTCCTCACTTGCCCTCTGTGATAGCCTCTAGCTTTGCTTATCCTTGTGAACTATTGCACTACCTGCTTGTTGTGCTGATTATACCCCACTTTGACTATGGGGGTGTGTCAGAATGTGATGTTTGTCTAGCCTGCAGTGGGGTACTCTATAGCGAGTACAGCCCAAATTAGGGTTTGCTATATGTACTCAACTGCCTGCTAGTGAAAACCCTTCTTTCCTGTTTCTGATTCTTGCCTAGTATTTCGACAGCACTTGCAGTCGATCTCGAGGTTGTCTGCTGTGGCTGAAAATGCCTTCAAGGAGGGTGAGAGGGAGAATCGAAGGCTGAGGGTTTGGTACTCAAAATCGACCGTGATGGATTGAGCAACGGAGAACTCAAGATTCAGGACGCAAGAGTGACCCTTGGAGGAGAGAAAGAAATCATGCAGCTGCGGTGAGATGGAGGACAGGAAGTTATAATCGTGTTTGTTGTAGTCTGCATGATCCGTGGTCAGACTCCTCAGCGACTTGAACCGTGACGCATTCAAACTGCCTAGATGCCATATCCCACGACCAAGCTTCAGCCGCTGCAGCTGCCCAAACCCCTCGAGAAAGTCTGGATTGATCTCATTGATTTCTAATGGCAAGGATAATTCCCTGACATCAAGGCACAGGCTTGTGAGAGAGTGAGCAGAGGATGCCATGAGACAACCAAGGCTCTGCAGGTCCGTCACGCTGGTGAAAGTGAGGTCAAGGGAGCTGTGACCTGGGTATTTGAGCAACCATAAGAGCTTCTCCGTCCACTTTAGCTCTTGATTGTTGAACACGAGCGAGATGGGCTCCAGCTCCTGCACCCACAGAAGTGACGACTCTTCAGTCGGAGAAGGGTTTTGTTCGTGGCATGAAAAGGATTGTGACAGGAGATTGTGAAATTTTGAGGAGAACCAGAGAAAGACTCACGGAGAAGGAGGTGACATGGTGGAGAAGCCTCTTGCTGGCCATGGCACAGCAGAGCAGAGGCCAGGAGGAGCCGAAGCGACACGCGTTCCTCTCATGTTGCTCGCTGGCAGAAAGTGGGCCTTTGTTGGCACACCTTTTGATTGTTGCTTGCACCTCTAATGTGTCAGACAAAAAATTCCACTGCTGACCAACCTGCTGATTGACCAGGTCATACAAACTGCTCATTGATCCCCGTGAACATGATTCCTCCAAAACGATGCTCAGTTTCTGCAGCTCAGGAGGAGGATAGCTGGATAAACGCAGCATAGTTTTGGTGGAATCTCTGCCAGGTGGCAGCAGCAGGAGGTGGAAGATGATGTGCCAGATGGGGCCAGGCAGCAGATCAACCACGTCCTGGCTCTGGAGGGTTGGAAAGAGCGCAGATGAGAGAGAAGGCAGCGGATATGAGAGGAAATGGAAGGATCAGATGCACTGTCAGGGGCATCACGCTCACCTCATGAGAATTCTTAGCAGCCGCGGTCTGTGAGAGATCGAGAGCAGCCATGCTCTCTTCCATCACCGAACCCTCATGAATAGCAGCCATCGTTGCGGTGAGAGCTAAGGGATTTAGTTGGCCTAGACTAAATCGAGTCGTCGGACATTAGAATACAGAGTGTTGCAAGAAAGCGAGAAAAAGAAGAATTTCTTATCTAAAGATTGGGCATTGAATTCGCAGAGGGTAAGTTAAATTTGCTGACCAAAATCATTGATACTCGATGTCTTCTGCTGGTCATCCCACGCGCCGCTCGCCTTGCTCACACCAGTTGGTGTTTCGAAAATCGCAAAAACCAGCGTGAAGGGATACTACTCTCGCTGGTCAGGGACAGGCACGATGAGGTTCGGCTGTCGTCGCCATGGGGGTCGCCGTGGCAGTAACCAGCAGTGTTATTGGCAGCGTGTTGCTTGGCAGCGTCATTGGCTCGAAATCTTGCTCACACGCAGCTATGGACACGAAGAAGAGGGAGCAATGAGAGACTCACGGGGAAGGAGGCGACATGGTGGAGGAGCCTCTGGCAGACCATGGCGCAGCGCAGCAGAGGCCAGCAGGCGCCGAAGGTCCTCAATGCCTCCGTAAGTTGCTGCTCCGTGGTGGACGCGTCTCCTGCTCCTCCCTCCTGCGACGCGCCCGAGGAATTACCCCAATTCTGCAGATTCTTTTTCAGTCGACTCAGAAGTCCACTCCCAGTGGCACCCGGCGAGGTGCTGCCTGCTCCCTCCTGTGATGCGCCCGAGGAGTTACCCGGACTTTGCAGCTTCTTTTTGAGTCGACTAAGAAGTGATGCGCCGGAGGCGCTGCCTGCTCCTCCCTCTTGTGATGCGCCGGAGGCGCTGCCTGCTCCTCCCTCTTGTGATGCGCCGGAGGCGCTGCCTGCTCCTCCCTCTTGTGATGCGCCGGAGGCGCTGCCTGCTCCTCCCTCTTGTGATGCGCCGGAGGCGCTGCCTGCTCCTCCCTCTTGTGATGCGCCGGAGGAGCTACCCAGCAGCAAGTGGCGGAAGATGATGTGCCAGATGGGGCCGGGCAGCAGATCAACCACGTCCACGATCTGGGTTGGGGAATGTGTTAAATTAACAGAAAGAGGGAGACTTAAAGAGCGAGGATACTACAAATCCATTGTCTTTTCCTAAGAAGAATGTGGTGAGAATCGAGGGAATCGGCTAAAAATGTTGTGATGTTTCACTGGCTGCGGCATCACCCTCACCTGATGATTCTCGGCATCAGCGGGTGCTGTAAGACTGAGAGCTACCTCATCTCCACGGCTACCCATCACCGCCAACGATCAGCTACGCAATTGCCGGCGAATAGGCAAAATAATACAGGAGGGTTTCGGAAAATTACGACAGGAGATTCACAGAAGCCTTCTGAGCAAGAAACAGCCCTGTTTGGAGCAGCTCTCAGCAGGAAACGGCTCTGTTTGTTACGAATCCAGCACGAGACTCAAGCAAGCCCCAACTCAATTTTAGGTGCATATAGGCTAGCGGCGGTAGGCCAATGGCGGTGAACTGAGTTGTGTTGCTCGGCTTTCAGTGGATTCGTAACGAAATCTGCTGCTGATCCTACAAGTTGCTCGGGTTACTCCCCTCCTATCACGCAATCATGAAGCACTCCCTTCCCCCTCCAGACACCTCTGTGACCCGCGCTCTATCACTCGCTGCGCCGGCGAGGACAGGCATTTCAAGGACCGCCTGCAGCGGCGCATCGCCGATCGCCTGAGATGTAATTTGTCAGCCAGTTGAAACGCATCCATTCCACCTGTTTCGAAAACCAGTCACTTGGCTCATCTCAAGCAAGGAAGGGCGGAAACTGAAGTCCCCGAAGGCTGGCTGGCTGGCTGGCCTCGAAGCAGAGGGTAAAACAATGTACGTATTTGCTGAGAACCCTACCCAACCATCTGGATTTTAAAGTAGACCGCTTTGGTTCAGGTCCAAACCTTTCTCAATCCCAATCGGACGTGCTCTTCGGACCCGCCCTCACAAAACACGCAGTAGAGTTTGACAGGGAGGTTTGCTACACATGGAATGCTTGTGGCCAAGCAAGACTTGATCGAGTGGTTCTGAACTGTTCAGATCTCCCACGACACGTAGGCTGGGATAGGAAAATCTCCATTGTTAGCAAGCCAATAAGAAGGCTGTAATTCCCCAAGAGTTTGGGCATTGCAACCAATCATCGAGCCCACCGACGCCCAAAATCTACACCTGGCTGTAAATGGTAACCAGGGCATGTTGTGCCCTGCTATGACTTCCGCGTCACAAGCCGGTTTCCGCGTGTCAATCTCCAAATCCCTAGCTCCTCCCTTTCTCAGCGACACGTAGCGAAACAGAGTAACTCACACGAAGTAACTCACACGAAAGTCCAACTCGCAGATCCCAGAGGAGTCGCAGGCCAGACCAGACCAGACTAGACCGACCCTCCCGAGAACAGAAACTCGTTTTCTCGCCACCGTCACATGCGCTGCTGGCGTTCTTCGTCGTCAAAGCCATTCCCTCCCTCAACCCCGTCCCTCCTCATCTCTTCTCGTTCTCAGCTGACTCCGCAATGGCACGCACCGCGAACACCGTCGCCCTCCCACCATGCCTTTCAGGGCAACGGGGAGGGGACTGCCATAGTAATAGAGGCAGGAAAAGTAGGCCAAGAACTTCGATGACACGCGTGCACTGCACGACAGGCAGTCTCCCATGCGCCGCTCGGCTCACAAGCTTTTGATCGTTCAGGAGAGGGTTGGAAAAATGCACTCTTGCGGAACCAGACGCTATTAGTGGTAACCACTCAAGACCATTCAAGACGCAAATCGCAGAAGCCCGTCGCAAGAACAACACCGCGTTCCGGTACTGACGCCTATCCGTCACGCGACGTGAGAAAAATCGCCACAAAGTCACTCGAGTAGACGGGCGATCATGCCGTGCCGTCGCGTTGATCATGGCTCGAATCGCAGTGGCACAGCACAACGCGGCCAAGGTGAGACTTGATTCACTCTCGATCATGTGTTGAACTCAAGCTGACTCGCCGTGATTCGTGTTTTGAGTCGACTCAAAACTAAAGCTGACTCGCCGTGATGCAGCATAACGACTCTTGATGCGTCTCAAGTCAAGCGTTGTACTCTTGAAGCCAAGCCGACTCACCGCGAATCGCAGTTCGAGGCCACGGCGAGGCAGTCGACAGGCGACAGGCAGGCGACAGGCAGGCGACAGGCAGGCGACAGGAGACAGGAGACAGGCGACAGGCGACAGGCGACAGGCGACAATCATTGTCCCAAGAGCACCACTCTTGAAGTCTATCCAGCTGAGGGTCCATTCTCCTCCTCCTTTCCCCTTCACCCCTTTCCGCATGAAATCTTCCGTTCTCCGCCTTTTCCCTCCTCCCCCTATCCTCTCTTTCCCTTCTCGCCCCGGCCCCCCGCGCCAGAACGGCAGCCTAGAACCGATCAGTCTGGCGCCAGAGCGCGCAGGCAACTGGAGAGCAGGCTGCTAGTCCGAGGAGTAGCGCCATTCACTGCCGGCACTCCCCCACTCCCCCTGCCGCCCTGCCAGAACGGCAGCCTAGAACCGATCAGTCTGGCGTGGGTAGAGCGCGCAGGTTACTGGAGCATCGGCGACTGGAGCGCAACCCACGAGGAGTAGCACGCCTCTCACTGACGGCGTTCCCCCCTCCCACCCTTCTTCCCCTCCCCTCACCCCACGCCAGAATGGCAGCCTAGAACCGATCAGTCTGGCGCGGGTAGAGCGCGCAGGCGACTGGAGCGCGCAGGCGACTGGAGCGCGCAGGCGACTGGAGCGCGCAGGCGACTGGAGCGCGCAGGCGACTGGAGCGCGCAGGCCACGGGGAGAAGCGCCTCTGACTGACGGCGCTCAGCCTGCTGCGCGGCCGCACCGCCTCCTACGGCGCGCTCGTCTCTTGGAACCTTGCCTTGCCCGCGCAATCCGCTCCGCACTCACGCCTGCTGCCCTTCCACCACATGTAGGCGCTCCGGCCGCTCCAGCAGCAGCAGCAGCAGCAGCAGCAGCAGCAGCAGCAGCAGCAGCAGCAGCAGCAGCAGCAGCAGCAGCAGCAGCAGCAGCAGCAGCAGCAGCAGCAGCAGCAGCAGCAGCAGCAGCAGCAGCAGCAGCAGCAGCAGCAGCAGCAGCAGCAGCAGCAGCAGCAGCAGCAGCAGCAGCAGCAGCAGCAGCAGCAGCAGCAGCAGCAGCAGCAGCAGCAGCAGCAGCAGCAGCAGCAGCAGCAGCAGCAGCAGCAGCAGCAGCAGCAGCAGCAGCAGCAGCAGCAGCAGCAGCAGCAGCAGCAGCAGCAGCAGCAGCAGCAGCAGCAGCAGCAGCAGCAGCAGCAGCAGCAGCAGTAGCAGCAGCAGCAGTGGCCACAGCGGGAACAGCAGGAGGGGGAGGTGGGGGAGGAGGGGAATACAGCTTGAGGTGGTTCAGCATGCAGGCAGGGTCGGAGCATGCGAGCAAGAAGAAGGAGCAGGAGACTGCACTGAGGCACGTGGTTCAGCGGCCGACCGTTGCATGTGGCGATGAGTTGACTTTCATTGACCTGTCAGGGGAGGACGTGCAGCGAGTGGCAAGAGAGGTGGTGGCGAGTGAGAATGAGAGGCAGGTGAGCGGTGGGATGGTGTGGGGTGGGATGGGATGGGATGGGATGGGATGGGATGGGATGGGGTGGGGTGGGGTGGGGTGGGGTGGGGTGGGGTGGGGTGGGGTGGGGTGGGGTGGGGTGGGGTGGGGTGGGGTGGGGTGGGGTGGGGTGGGGTGGGGTGGGATGGGATGGGGTGGGGTAGGGTGGGATTGGCCGCCCTTCACAAGGGTCATTTTTCACACCATTCCTTTGGCTCGCAGCCCATGCTCAGACTCACTGCCCACTGTCTACTTCCTTCCTTGCCCTCTCCCCGCCCCTCTCCCTTTCCCCCGCAGGCGACTGCGCTGCTGCTGATCTCAGAGCTGGAGGCGCAAGTGGTGGTGGTGCCGGGATACAGAGAGTACACGCTCACACTGCTGGCAGCAGATGAGAGCACCCGCATGGCAGCAGATGAGAGCACCGCATGGCAGCAGATGAGAGCACCGCATGGCAGCTCACTAGGCCTTGCACCCGACTCTACTGGATGTGCTTGTAGCGAGGGCGAATGTGGTGGAAGGCGTAGGGATCAACCACAGGGCGTGACTGTAACAACAGTAGTGGATAGAGCACCTGCAGCAACAGCACCTGCAGCTACTGGTATCAGCCGAGCTGAACAGATGATTTCTGGGGAGCATGAGTGTGGGCACTTGAGGTTTACATGTGATGCCCACACGTGTGCTTGTTTTCTTTCTACAGAGGAATGTATGTGCACTGAACAACACACGTGGGTATAGAGGAATGTAGTGGTGGGTGAGCTGAGTTCTGCGCCGCACTCGATGCTGGAAGCATCAGTGCGCCAGTTAGAGAAGAAAAAATGTATCTATCCAAGACAAGTGGGAGGGATCATGATGGGAAGTTAAGCAAGCAAAACACAGAACATTAAAATCAAGCAAAAATACACATCCATACATCGAATCAATAAATAGCTTCCAGCCCTTACGAAGCTCTCTGCTTCACTGTGCTCAGCTGGTCGAGCAGCAGCCCTGTGCTCTGGCAGCAGGCAGCAGGCAGCAGGCAGCAGGCACCAGGCAGCAGCATGTGCCATTACGGCACCAATGAACCACAGTTATACAAGCACCACAGATGCCCACCACTGCCACCCCCACAGCTAGCCTCATCTAGATTCCATCACCATCATATGGTCATCCCATCACCATCATATGGTCATCCCATCGCCAAGGGTTTAGGGTACAGCACACAGGTGCACGCAACCCCATGGTCACACCACCCCATTCCCACACCACCCCATTCCCACACCATTGCCACCACCGTTATCAACCCTCACACCTGGTTCCACTCACTTACTACCCTAACCACCTCCGTGCGTCTTCGTTCAACTCTCAAATCAACATGGTTGTATGGTAAGTCTCGCTGTCTCAAAATTAAGCAGCCATGTGGCATCGTAAAACGACTCCAATTTCGGAGCATTGATGAGCAAACCGCTGGTGCTGCTGCTGACGCCCTCTTCTTCTCCCGCACGAATGCACATCCGAAGATCAGAATCTCCAGGATCCCCCGGAAAATATTTATAACTAATCCCCCCCGTGCTCTCACGATCTATACCAACGAAAACGCAACGCAGGCGGCTCCACTCCACACACACGCCCTTCAGAGGCCAGCCGTACCTCAATACAAGCTCCTCCACTGTAGGCGCTATGCTGCTGAGCAGGTGGGTCAAGGCACGTTGGGATTCGAGATCGGAACATGGAAAACCAAGCGACTGGTTTTTTCGATTGGGAAACCCACGCGACTGGTTTACTCTATTGGGAAACCCACGCGACTGGTTTTTTCGATTGGTCGGTCCATTCAAGTAGACGGATTTGGCGGCAGCCAATGGTAGTGAATAAACGAGAAGCTGCGAGCGGCCAATGAGAGAGAGCGAGTCGAGAGAGGGGCGGCTGTTGCATGTGCAATCCAAGCGAAGAAACGCCGCAGCGGCAGAGAAGGACTTCAAAGAGGGAGGGAGGCCAAAGCGGAGGTGGACGGCTTGTTTCTCAAAGCAGACTGTGATAGCTCGAGCAGCGGTGAACTTAAAGTCGAGGGTGAGGGTGCTGGAGCCAGAGCTTTGGCTGGAGGAGGCGAGAGCGAGTTCATGCAGCTGCGGTGCGACGGATGAGAGAAAGGTCAGAGATTTTCTGCCGCACTCGAAATCGTGGATGCTCAGACTCCTTAAACCCCCGAAACTCGTTGGATTCAGGTTGTCTAGCTGCCACGTCCCACGGCCTAGCTTCAGCCGCTGCAGCTGCTCAAACTCCTCAGAAACAGCGGGATTCAACAGCTGATTCCCCTTAATAATAGATTCAAACCCCAAATCATAAATCCCCTTCTCAACAATCCGCTTCTCCAAGATATTCTCAACTCCCTCGGGAGGTTCCCTGAGCAGAAGGGACAGGTTCGTGAGGGAGCGCGCAGAGGGTCCCAAGAGACGGCCGAGGCAGTGCAGGTCCTGGGGGCTGTTGAGAACGCCATTAAAGGGCGTGTGAGGCGCGTGCCTGAGGAAGACAGAGAGCGTTCCCGAGGGGCGTGTGAGCGCGGGGTCTTGGGGGTTGATAGGCAGCGTCATGGGCTCCAAGTCCTGCTCGTACACGGTGTGACAGAGAGATGGCCAGACGGACACAACGATGAGAAGGTACTAGAGGAGCGAATTTGTGAGTCAACTTAAAAGTCTCCTGAGTGTTTCTTGGGCTGATCAAGTTTTGTATTATCCTGACCGTGACCGCATCATATAGCCGTGACCGTGACGGCTTAATTGCTCAGCAACCAGAGAGGAATTAGACATCATGGATTACGGGGAGCAACTCACGGGGAAGGAGGCGACAAGATGAAGGAGCCTCGTGCAGACCATGGCGCAGCGCAGCAGAGGCCAGGAGGAGCCGAAGCTTCTCAATGCCTCCGCTCGTTGCTGCTCCGAGGAGCTACCCCGATTCCGCAGTTTATTTTTGAGTCGATTCAAAAGTCGAAGGAGACGCGAGGTCCTGCACCCCTCGGGCGGTTCGCCCAGCAGCACGTGGCAGAAGATGATGTGCCAGATGGGGCCGGGCAGCAGATCAACCACGTCCACGCTCTGGGTTGGGGAGATTTTCGAGAGATAAAAAAGTAGAGATATATATAGCGAGAATAAGACTGATCCATTGTCTTTTCCTGAGGATGGTGTGGTGAGAATCGACGGAATCGGCTAGGCATGGTGTGATGTTTCACTGGCTGCGGCATCACTCTCACCTCATGATGATTCTCGGCATCAGCGGGTGCTGTAAAACTGAGAGCTACCTCATCTCCACGGCTAGCCATCACCGCCAACGATCAGCTACGCAACGGCCGGTGAATAGGCAACAACTGCGTTCGAATACACGAGGGTTTCGGAAAATAACGACAGGAAATTCATGGAAGCCTTCTGAGCAAGAAGCTTTGTTTGAAACAGCTCTGAGCAAGAAATAGCTCTGATTGAAACAGCTCTGTTCGTTAGGAATCCACCACGAGACTCAGGCAAGCCCCAACTCAAATCTAGCTGCTTTCATGCTAGCAGCGGTAGGCTAGTGGCGGTGAACTGTGTTGTGGTGCTTGCCTTGTGGTGGATTTGTAATGAAATCTGCTGCTGATCCTACACGTCGCTCGGGTTACTCCCCTCCTGTCACGCAATCATGAAGCACTCCCTCCTCCGAACACCTCTGTGACCTGCGCTCTACTGTATCACTATCACTCGCTGCGCCGGCGAGGACAGGCATTTCAAGGACCGCCTGCAGCGCATCGCCGATCGCCCGAGATGTAATTTGTCAGCCAGTTGAAATGCATCCATACCACCTGTTTCGAAAACCAGTCACTTCGCTTCTCAAGCAAGGAAAGGCAGAAAGGAAAGTCCCCGAAGGATGGCCTCGCCTCACAAACACGCAGTTGAGCGTGTTCGAAAAGCGAGGGCGTCACCTCTGGTGTTATGGCCTATAATAGGGCGACATCGCTAAGCGTCGCAAGAAAAACTTCCAGTCGCCTGCCATTCCAGTTTGACCCATTTTTCGCCCATCCAGTCACAATGTCTCCTCGTACTCCTCTACTGCTGCTCACCTAGTTGTTTCCCAGCTACACTGCCCTTTCCGATGCACTGCGACAGTTTCCGGTGAGAAGCGATTTCGCTAGCGACTATGCGGGGTGCTGTCCAATCAGAGGCGTCGTCCGTGCTGGGAGGGGGGCGCCTATCATTCTGTGTTAGAACAGCATGCCCGATGTGACAGCGCTGTTCGAATTGGCGAAACTTCTGGTTAGCGACGTCGTTAGGGTGCCTACGAGCCTGGCGAAGCATGTAACATTTCACCTGTTCGAACGAGAGGCCTGTTCGAACCTGGAGTTTGACAAAGGTTTGCTACAGATGGGATGGAATTATGGAACGCTTGTGGCCAGGCAAGACTTGATCGAATGGTTCTGAACTGTTCTGATCTCCCACGACACGTCAGCTGGGATTAGGAAAATCTCGTTCATAGTTAGCAGGCCAATAAGAAGGCTGTGATTCCCCAAGAGGTTGGGCATGACAACCAATCATCGAGCCCACCGACGCCCAAAATCCACACCTGGCTAAGTGGTAACCAGCGCATCTTGTGCCCTGCTATGACTTTTGAAATTGGAGATTCCTTCCAACCAACAAGCCAGGCTTCGACTTCGACGGGACAGGCCAGTTTCCGTGTGTCAATTTCCGAATCCCCACTTCCTCCCTTTCTCAGCGGATGTGCGTGACACGAAGCGAAACGAAGTAACTTTTACACTAGGGCGAGTGCCGAGTCTCCCTCACCTTTTCCTCCTTAATTCGTTGACTATCGCGAAAGTCCAACGCGCATATCTCGGAAAGTCGCAGACCACACCACACCCTGCCGAGAACATGAACTCCTTTTCTCACCACCGTCACATGCGCTGCTGGCGTCGTCCTCGTCATATCCGTTCCCTCCCTCATCTCCCTCCCTCATCTTCTCTCGTTCTCAGCTGACTCCGCAATGGCACGCACCGCGAACGCCGTCGCCCTCCCGCCATGCCTCTCAGGGCAACGGGGATGGGACCGCCATAGGCCAAGATCTGCGACGAGACCCGTTCAGACAATCTCCCATGCGCCGCTCGACTCACAAACTTTTGATAATTCAGGACACGGTTGAAATAATACTTTCTTGCGGAACCAGACGCTAGTGGTAACCATTCAAGTCGCCAATCGCTGAAGCCTGTCGCAAGAACAACACCGCGTTCCGGTACTGACCCCTAACCGTCTCGCGACGTGAGAAAAATCGCTGCTAACATGACGAGCCGTTGCGTTGACATGCGGAGGTGTGCATAGGCCTCTTGTGCGAGCTCTATTACCGGTATCCAGGTTCCTTTCCATGAGCTTGGTGGTACCTCAGCTTCAGAAAATAGCATCAATACAAAACATCAATACATTAATATCAGCCCTCTGCTTTACTGTACTTAGCTGGTCGAGCTCCAGCCCTGCGCTTGACAGCAGCCGCAGCAGCAGGCAGCAGCCGAGACACTGTCTCAGTCAGCAGCAGCATCATCAGCTGCCCCAGATGTACAGGCAGCACAGGACCACGATGTGCCCTGATGGGACCTGATTGCACCGCTCCTCTCCCTGCCGCTACCAGCAGAGGCCGACTGGTCAGTGGTCATGTAAGTTGCCAGCAAAGGGAACTGCCTGCATTTTAGACGTCCCAAAAAAAGTCCTCCAGTGCCATTATGTGGCTTGATTGCACTGCTTCCTCTCCCTCCCGCCACCAGCAGTCAGTGGTCCTGTAAGATGCCAGCAAAGGGAACTGCCTCCGCAGCAAAACCAGAGTGTTGGGATGCCATCGTTTGTGTCGACCGGTTCATCATCGTAATCAGAAGCCCCAGTGCCAATTCGGTCCACTCCAATGACAAGGGCGCGCAGGCTGCTCCACTCCTCATGCACGCCCACCAGAGGCCAGTCATACCTCATTGTAAGCTTCTCCACTGTCGGCGCTATATGGCTCAGCAGGTGGGTCAAGTGAGCTTGGGTGGTTGGATCGTTCAAGTAGACATACTTGGCAGAAGCCAGTGGGAGCGAAGAAACGGAGATACGTGCGCGGCCAATCAGAGAAAGCGAGTCGAGAGCGAGGGGGCTGTCGCATGTGCAGTGGACTTTGAGAGACTTGGCAGCGGCAGAGAAGGACTTCAAAGAGGGAGCGACGGCGAAGCGGAGGTTGACCGCTTGATTCTCGAACCAGACTGAGATAGTTCAAGCAGCGGTGAGCTTGAAATCGAGCGTGGTGGTGCCAGAGCCATGACTGGAGGAGAAGAGATTGAGTTGATGCAGCTGCGGTGCGACGGATGAGGGAAAGGACAGATCATTTCTCTTGAACTTGAAATCGTGGATTCTCAGACTCCTTAAAGCCTTGAACCTTGCTGGATTCAGCTTGTCTAGTTTCCAGATGGCATTGCCTAGCTCCAGCTGCTCCAGCTGCTCAAACTCCCCCAGAAACGCAGGACGCATAAGCAGCTGCAGCTGCCTATCCTGAAAAATCTCGTCACTCGGGTCGCACCCAATGTACAGGCTTGTGAGGGAGCGCGCAGAGGGCTGCAAGAGACGGTTAATGCATTTCAGGTCCCGGTTTCTGTTGAGAATGAAATTAAGGGACGTGTGAGACGCGTGTCGGAGGAAGAAGGAGAGCATTCCTGACACCCGGGGGACTTTGGTGTTGAACATCAGCGTCCTGCGCTCAAACTCCTGCTCGAGTGTCATGGACAGAGAGGTGGCAGAGAGATGGCAGAGAGGTTGCAGAGAGAGATGGGCAGAGAGGTGGCAGAGAGATGGCAGAGAGATGGCGGAGAGATGGCAGAGAGATGGCAGAGAGATGGCAGAGAGATGGCAGAGAGATGGCAGAGAGATGGCGGAGAGATGGCAGAGAGATGGTAGAGAGATGGTAGAGAGATGGTAGAGAGATGGTAGAGAGATGGTAGAGAAATGGTAGAGAGAGATGGGAAGGGAGATGGTAGAGGAGCAACTTTTGAGTCAACCCAAATTCCCCAAGTGTTGAATAGGAACGTCATGGGAGGCAATCATGCGCACACAGAGATGGGTACAGAGATGTTAGAGGAGCTTAGCCGTGACCGTACAGCTCAGCACCCCTGAGAGCAGAAATTTCTGCTAGATGAGCCCGTGAAATGAAATGTACCGGAGAAGGATGTCAACTTTAAATTGTTGAATGTTGGAATGAGGGAAGCAGCGCGTGATGACGACTCACGGAGGAGACGACAGTGTGAATAAGAAGCAGGTGGAAGGAAAGGGGAAGGGGGAAGGGCATGGTGACTCACGGAGAAGGAGAGGACATGGTGGAGGAGCAGGGGGAAGGGGGAAGGGGGAAGGGGACAGGGAAGGGGAAGGGGAAGGGGAAGGGGGAAGGGGGAAGGGGGAAGAGGCGCATTATGACTCACGGAGAAGGAGACGACATGCTGGAGGAGCCTCTTGCTGGCCATGGCGTAGCGCAGCAGAGGCCAGGACGGGCCGAAGAGATACACGGCCCCCGCGTGCCACCGGTTGCTCCCTGTGAAGATGTCAGGAGGTGGATTGACTGTGGCACCGAACTCCGTGCTGCCAGTTCCCTCCGTGCTGCCAGTTCCCTCCGTGCTGCCAGTGGCGGCTCCCTGCTGCGATGCGACCGAGGAGGAGTCACCGCAGTGCGATGCGACCCAGGAGGAGTCATGATCCCGTTCGTCATGACCCAGCAGGTGGCGGAAGATGATGTGCCAGATGTGGCCGGGCAGCAGATCAACCACGTCCACCTGCCAGGTGAGGAAATGTTTGGTACGATGAGGAAGCGAGAGTGAGAGCGAGGATCAGCCCGGAAGATGATGTGCCTGATGGGGGCGTCCAACAGATCAGCCACGTCCACGTTCTGGTGGGTGGAGAAGAAGTGGAGATGAGAGAGAAGGCAGCGGAAGATGATGTGCCTGATGGGGGCGTCCAGCAGAGCAGATCAACCACGTCCACGCTCTGGTGGGTGGGTGCGGGGAGAGGTATTGAAGACGAGTGCTGGATTGTGAGAGTGGGAGGAGAGTGAGGGTGGCAGCAGCAGGAGGCGGAAGATGATGTGCCTGATGGGGCGTGGCAGCGGATCAACCACGTCCACGCTCTGCTGGGTGGGGGGGAAAGAGAATGTTACTTATTTTCAAGATAAGAAACAAGAGAGAGCAAATGAGAGGTCAACCCTAAACTGACATGCGAGATTACCGAAATGTGACTTTCGGGTTACCTTCTGGATGTGTTTAGGCCAGGATGGGGTATGTGTCACTTTCGAGTCAGGTTTGGGTTAGCAAGATTTTGGTGATGCTCTCTCTTCCTGAGAAGGATGCGGTGAGAAGTGAGGGAAATCCGCTGGGAATCATGGTGTGATGCCTCGCTGTGAGCGGCGAGTCACTCTCACCTCGTGGTGCTTCTCGGCATCAAGGGGTGCTGTGAGATTGAGAGCATCATCTCCCGCAAGCACCGCATCTCCATGGCGTGCCATGATTAGCGCCAACGACCGACGTGAGGCAAAAACGCTGTCGTTCGAAATCGGGAGGTTTCTAGAAAGCACCGTCTGAAAACAAGTACGGCTCTACACAACAAATACAGCTGGGTTTCTGTCGAGGAAGACTCTTACTATCTAGTGAAGGAGAGGGTTTGTTAGGCTGGCTGCATGATTATCATGGTGGTGTTCCGTTGCTGCATAGCTTTATGCGGCAACGGACGCAAGATCAGCGCCATGAAGCTTCCAACCACTACATAATTCCACCGGTTCCACGACGTTTCGCCATCGACGAGCACACCAATTGCTGTAGTCCCAGTGGCCATTGTCGGGCCAAAGCAATTGCCGTATACTACGGAGATGTTGAGTTCGCTTCACTTGCGTATGTTATTTCTGTTTCCCGTTCAGACGCTCTGTCTGTCTGGGTGCTCACAAACCACTTCGGGTGTACCACACGTGACGTGAGACACAAATTCAGCCTTGGTGTTTGTTTCGATCGAAGCCTATCTCTCGCGATTCCGAAATTCGTGAGATGTAACAGAGCCAGGCGTACTGTTTGGATCGAGTAACCTACTTTTGAGTCGCTAGTGCTCGTTTCGCTCCATATGTGGCTGAAACTTGTGAGACACCCGAGCGTGTTCAACGAAGTCGCCGAGACGATGCGAACTTTGCGATGAAGGTCAAATGAACCCAAACCTCGAGGACTGTACTCAAAACCAGAAACGCATAGAGGAGTCAATATGAGGCGAACAACAGTCACTCGAGGAGGGAACGAAGTGGGTGATCCCAAGAAATCAAACCCGAGGCACGCGTGTCACTCCGAAATTAACCTGGGAGTCACTTCCCGTAGCGAAAACATGTAACGCGCACTCGGCGAGTGCCGAACGTCGTCACTGAGTCTGTTCCTCACTTTTCCTACCAGGTTCGTTCGCGGTTGCGCAAGTCGTACGCACCGATCACGCAGACGAGACGAGGGCGACCCAGTTGAGAGGAAGGAAGCACACCTGGTGTGCCACGCCACTGTCACGAGCGCCCTCAACTGTGACGCCCCGCTCCTCCCGTCTCGTTCGTTTTCGTCAAATTCGTTCTCCCTCATCTCCTTCCCGCTTCATCTTCGCTCGTTATCAGCTGACTCCGCAATGGCACGCACCGCGAACACCGCCGCCCTCCCACCATGCCTCCCAGGGCAACGGGGACGGGACCTAGTTATGGCCAAGAGCTTCGGCGAGATGTGTTCAGACAGTCTCCCATGCGCCGCTCGACTCACACGCTTTTGATAATTCCGGAGAGGGTTGGAAAAACACATTCTTGCGGGACCAGACCCTAGTGGTAACCGGCGTTACCATGCAAGACCATTTGAGACGCCAATCGCAGCCTGACGTAAAACAAACACCGCGGTCCGGAACTGACGCTTATCAGTCACGCGAACTGAGAGCTTGCTCGCTACAGAGTCACTTGAAAAGATACGGCGATCATGACGAGCCGTCGCCGTGACATGCGACAGCACCTGACTTTCCCGCCATCATGCCTCCTTATCCTTTGCCACATGGCATCCACGTGTCGTGCGTGTCTTCCGCCTATGTTCTCGGCAGCAGCAGACGGCTCCCCTCCGAACCCTAATTGGGAGATCGACTTCGACTGGCTGAGTGACGAGAACCAAATCGCCATGGCGCGATTCGCCGTGGCGCAGCACAACGCCGCCAAGGTGAGCCTCGCCTCGCCTCGCCTCGCCTCGCCTCGCCTCGCCTCGCCTCGCCTCGCCTCGCCTTGATTCACTCCGAGTGCCAGAGAACTCTCTTGGAACAAGTGTCATACTCTCGCCTCGAGAGTCCCGATCCAGTGTTGTACTCTTTCTCTTCAAGCTCATGCTAACTCACCACGGCGCAGCAGAACGAGGCCATGACGAGGTAGGCGCCGGATGACGGGCGACGGGCGACAGGCGACGGATGACGGGCGACGGGCGACGGGCGACACTCCACGCTTTAAGAGAACTTTGCTGCTTTGCTTCTCGTCCCCACTGCCGCGTATTCTCTCTCCCGCATTCCCACTGTAGCACAGTCACTCCCTTCCCTTCATTCTTCAACGCTTCCCCTTTTCTTCTCCCCGTCTCCCCTTCCTCCTTCTCCCCTTCTCTCCTTCTATTTTCCCCTCTTCCCCTTCTCCCCTACTCCCCTTCTCTTCTCCCCTCCTTCCCTTCTCCCCGTCTCCCCTTCTCCCCGTCTCTCGCCTCTCCACGCCAGAACGACAGCCTACAGCCAGTCGGTGTTCTCTATGTGGAGCGCGCAGACATTGCCAGCGCAGGCAATGGCAGCGCAGGCAATGGCAGCGCAGGCAATGGCAGCGCAGGCAATGGCAGCGCAGGCAATGGCAGCGCAGGCAATGGCAGCGCAGGCAATGGCAGCGCAGGCAATGGCAGCGCAGGCAATGGCAGCGCAGGCAATGGCAGCGCAGGCAATGGCAGCACAGGCAATGGCAGCACAGGCAATGGCAGCACAGGCAATGGCAGCGCAGGCAATGGCAGCGCAGGCAATGGCAGCGCAGGCAATGGCAGCGCAGGCAATGGCAGCACAGGCAATGGCAGCGCAGGCAATGGCAGCGCAGGCAATGGCAGCGCAGGCAATGGCAGCGCAGGCAATGGCAGCGCAGGCAATGGCAGCGCAGGCAACTCAAGCGCGGGCGGGGAGGAGTACCTTGTGTGACTGGCGGCTCTCAGCCTGCTGCGCGGCCGCACTGCCTTCTTCGACGCCCTCCTCTCCCGCCGCCCTCTCATGGCCGCGCAATCCGCAACCCCTGCTGCTGCCCCTCCACCACCAGCAGCAGCAGCAACTGCAGCAACTGCACCCACCCCAGCAGCAGCGTCTGTCGCAGCAGCAGGAGGAGGAGAGGGAGGATCAGCAGCAGCAGCAGGAGGGGAGGGATGGGAGTACACGTTGAGGTCGTGGGTGCAGCAGGCAGGGTGGGGGCATGCGAGCACGCGGGAGGAGCAGGAGGCGGCGCTCAGGCACGTGGTGCCGGTGACCCCCCCTCCGTGTGGCGACCTGTTGACTTTCGTTGACTCCTCAGATGTGGACGTGCAGCGAGTGGCACGAGAGGCGGTTGCGAGTGCGAATAAGAGACAGGTGAGTTGCGTTGCTATTAGTCCCAGTCAATCTGGGACGGGATCAACTCTGTCCTTCACAGGAGCCAGTTTGCACTTTATTCTCTTCACTCAGATCCATGATAAGACCCATCCTTAGTCCCATGCTCAGTCCCATGCTCAGTCCCATGCTCGGTCCCATGATGCTCAAATCCATGCTCAGACCCATGCTCAGACCCATGCTCAGACCCATGCTCAGACCCATGCTCGGACCCACCATGATCAGTCCCATGCTCAGACCCAGTAACACTATCTGCTTCCTTCCTCGCCCTCTCTCCAACCCTTTCCCCCCTGCAAGGCAGCGCACTGCTGCTGATGTCGGTGGTGGACGCACAGGTGGTCGTGCCGGCATACAGAGAGTAACCATCCCAAGGCCTATCCCAAGGCCTATCCCACGACTCAACCACTCTCCTTCCCTCCCCTCCTTCCCTCCCCTCCACACACAGGGAAGCGCGCTCCTGCTGATTTCGGTGGTGGAGGCACAAGTGTTGGTGCCGTCATACAGATACAGAGAGTACAATTTCACACTGCTGGCAGCAGATGAGGGCACCGGCATGGCAGCTCATTACGCCACGCACGCTCTGGATAACAGCAGCGGCGCCACGCCTGATACTTCACAAGGGGGGAACGCGAGTGGGAGGGGTTTGGTGAATGTGACGGCGTTTGCGGTGGTGCCGGGGACGCAGCGGAATGCAACAGCGGGGGAGATGGGCGTGGCGGCAGCAGGGGGGTGTGCCGGGAGGAATGCGAGCAGCAGCAGCGCTGGGTGTGTGTGAATGAGGGGTGGGTGCTCATCCTAATGTGACTCTGCTGGATGTGCTTGCAGCGAGGGCGAATGTGGTGGAGGGGGCAGGGATCGACAACAGCGTGACTGTAACAACAGCAGCGGTGCATGCAGCACCTGCAGCAATGGCACCTGCAGCACTGCTGACTGCGCATGGAACCCAAGCCAAGGCAGCAGGCGAGGGGGCAGTAGAGGAGGAAGCAAGTGGTGGTGGTGAAGGTGGTGGTGTGGCAGCCGGTGCCCTTCACAGCTCACCGCCTGGTTGAATTTTTTTCTCTTGGGTGCGAGAGGTGGTGAGGCGAGCGAGTGGAGAGGCGAAGGGCTCTGTGTCCATTGACTGTGCTCCCCCACCCCTCGGTCACATCCTCCTTGCTGACTGCACGGCAGTGCCTAAGGCTGGCTATTCTGTAGTTGCACCGATAAGAGTTGTAACATTGCTTCGTGTGCTTGTCTCCCTTGGCCTCGTGCTGGCTCTCCTGTAGAGATGTTATCATGGGTGGGTGCCGTTTGCGTCGCTGTAACACTGTCACTGTTGGCAAAGTCAATGCTTCACTTAACGTACCGTACACACACGACCCCCCCCATCTGGAGTTAAGAGTCTCATTGTTGTGGTTACACGTGTGCTTGTCTCCCTTTACAGGGGGATTAATGGGTGAACTCTCTGCGCCATGCTGGATGTCGTAAGCTTGAATACTCAAGATCTGATCGCATGCCCTCGCCATAACACGATCTGATCCCATGCCATCACCGTAACACGGTCTGACACCATGCTATCGCCATGTTACGCTGTGATCCCACACTAACCCGCCACGCCCATCTGACCTAATTGCACCGCTCCTCTCCCACCTGCTTTCATGCCTGGAAGACGATGGATCAACAATGCTATACGATACCAGACAAGGGAACTGCTTGCACAGAGAAGCTGGAATGACCGGTTGCCACTCGGAAGACGCATAGTAGATAGACTCCAGGTTTGGAGCATTGACGAACAGGCTGCTGCTGCTGCTGCTGCTGCTGCTCCTCCTCCCTTCTTCCCCACCAAAGCACCTCCAAAACCGAGAGTCATCCGGATCCTCCGGGTTTTCTTTGTAACTAAACCCCCGAGTTCTAAGACGGTTCACACCAATGCTGAGGTGTCGCAGCTGGCTCCACTCCACACGCACGCCCTCCAGAGGCCAGCCGTACCTCAATACAAGTGTCTCCACTGTAGGCGCTATGCTGCTGAGCAGATCGGTCACGGCAAGTTGGGATTCGAGATCGGAACAGGGAAGATCATTCCACCAGTCTCCTTTGGTTGGTCGATTGTTTGGTCCGTTCAAATAGGCGGATTTGGCGGCAGCCAATGGGAGAGAAGAAACGAGAAGCTGCGAGCGGCCAAGGAGAGAGAGCGAGTCGAGAGAGAGGCGGCTGTTGCATGTGCAATCCACGACAAGACACTTTGCAGCAGCAGAGAAGCTCTTCAAAGAGGCAGGGAGGACAAAGCGGAGGAGGAGCGTTTGTCTGTCAAAGCAGACTGTGATAGATCGAGCAGCGGTGAGCTTGAAATCGAGGGTGGTAGAGCCAGAGCCACGGCGGGAGGAGGCGAGAGCGAGTTCATGCAGCTGCGGTGCGACGGATGAAAGAAAGGACATATCATTTCCGTCGCACTCGAGGATGCTCAGTTTTCTTAAAGCCCGGAACCTCGCCGGATTCAGTTTGCCTAGTTGCCACGTCCCATGGCCCAGCTTCAGCCGCTGCAGCTGCTCAAACCCCTCAAGGACGCCCGGATACATCAGCTGATTCACTTGAATAAAACCAAAATCCTCTTGAGGAGTGCATATAATCATCCCGTCCTTCCTCTCAATACGATACTGCGTAACAGTCCCGGGTGGAGGCTCCTTGAGCCCAAGGCCCAGGCTTGTGAGGGAGCGCGCAGAGGGGCCCAAGAGAGGGCCGAGGCAGCGCAGGTCACGGGAGTCGCTGAGAACGAAATTGAGGGGCGCGTGGGGGGCGTACTTGAGGAAGACAGAGAGCGCTCCCGAGGGACGTGTGGGCGCGGGGTCTAGGCGGTTGAGAGCCCGCGTCATGGGCTCCAAGTCCTGCTCTCACACGGTGTGACAGAGAGATGGAGAGACATGGAGAGAGATGGAGAGAGAGATGGAGAGAAAGAGATGGAGAGAGCGAGAGATGGAGAGAGAGAGAGGTGGAGAGACACAGCGATGAGAGGAGCGACTTTGTGAGTCAAAATAAAAGTCTCCTGAGTGTTGCTTGGCAGCGTCAATGGCTCGAAATCATGCTCACACGCAGCTATGGACACGAGGATGGTTGAGGAGGCTTAGCCGTGACCGGGACCGCTTCATAGCTTAGCACCCAAAGAAGAATCTTACCATGGATTACGGGCAGCAATGAGAGACTCACGGGCAGCAATGAGAGACTCACGGGGAGCAATGAGAGACTCACAGGCAGCAATGAGAGGCTCACGGGCAGCAATGAGAGACTCACGGGAGCAATGAGAGACTCACAGGGAGCAATGAGAGACTCACGGGGAGCAATGAGAGACTCACGGGGAGCAATGAGAGACTCACGGGGAGCAATGAGAGACTCACGGGGAAGGAGGCGACATGGTGGAGGAGCCTCTTGCAGACCATGGCGCAGCGCAGCAGAGGCCAGCAGGAGCCGAAGGTCCTCAATGCGTCGGGGGAGCCACCCCGATTCAGCACTTTATTTTTTAGACGATTCAAATGTCGGACGAAACGCATCCTGCGTCCTTCGTGCGACTCGCCCAGCAGCAGGTGGCGGAAGATGATGTGCCAGATGGGGCCGGGCAGCAGATCAACCACGTCCACGCTCTGGTGGGTGGTGGAAAAAAAAACAAAAACAAAAAGGTTCTATTTTTTCAACATAAGAAAGAGAGAGAAAGAATGAGAGGTCAATCCTCTCTCTTCGTCCTGGGAAGGATGTGGTGCGGTGAGAAGCGAGGGGAATCCGCTGGGAATCACGGTGACGCCTCTCTGTCTGCGGCATGAGTCAGTCTCACCTCGTGGTGCTTATCGGCATCAAAGGGTGCTGTGAGATTGAGAGCATCATCGCCCGCAAACACCGCATCTCCATGATGGTCTGCCATCATCAGCGCCAAGTGAACTCGGGAAGTTTCTGGAAAGCTGTCGTTCGAAATCGGGAAGTTTCTGGAAAGCACCGAGTGAAAAAAAGCACGGCCCTACACACCAATCTAGGTTTCTGACGAGGGGAACTCTTAGAATGCAGTGAAGGCGAAGGTTTGTTTACGCTGGCTGCATAATAGTGGTGCTCTTGCCGCATTAGCTTTATGCGGCAACCGACGCACAAGTTCGGCGCCAGAGAGCTTCCAAACCATTACATCATTCCACTGGTTCCAGGACGTTTCGCCATCGCCGAGCACACCAATTGCTGTAGTCCCAGTGGCCATTGTCGGACCAGAGCAATTGCAGCAGATCTGTTGAGCTTCGCTTCACTTGCCTAGGTTTTTTCCTGTTTCCGGTTCAGACCCGATATCTCCGCTTGTGTCTCCCCTCACGTTGGTCGCCGTGCTACAACTGAGGGGCAATGACAAAACACTTCGAGTGAACCACACGTTAGGTCGCAAATTCAGGCTAATTTCGTTCCGACAAACCTTTCTCTCGCAAATCCGACTTTCGTTGGATTTTATCGAGCCAGGCGAATAACATACTTAATCGCTAATGCTCGTTTCGCTCCATCAGACCTTCTCGCACACTTGCTGAAACGCGTGATCTTCTCACACGCGTTCGGTCGGACAATAGGATGAAACCAGGTCGCCCAGACAATGCGAACTTTGCAAACCTCGGGTCGGGACGGGATCCTCGAGAATGTACAGTGCACAAAACCACCAGTGCACAAAACAGGCGATGAACAGTAGTACACTCAACGGGAGTCCCATCGAGTTCTTCCCTTCCCTCAGCGAATCTATGCGACAGATAACGAACAAATGTAACACATGCTTGGCAAGTGCCAACCTTCGCCATAAATCTTCCTCATATTTTCCACCCAATTTCGTTCACAGTCGCGCGAGTCGTACGCGCAGATCACGGAGACGAGACGACAACGACCCAGGCGAGAGGAAGCAACACCTAATCTCACCACGCCACCGTCACGTGCGCTGCCAACTGTGACGACCCACTACTCGCCCCGTCTCATTCGTCCTCATCAAAACCGTTCTCCCTCACCTCCTTTCCGCTTCATTTATCTCGTTCTCAGCTGACTCTGCATTGGCAATGGCACGCACCGCGAAAACCGTCGCCCTCCCGCCATGCCTCTCAGGGCACGGGACCGTCAATTAGGCCAAGAACTTCAGCGAGATGCGTTCAGACTCTCTCCCATGAGAGAGACTGTATTTTAACTTTGAAATACATTCCGCAAGAATGTATTTCAAATACAAGCTTGTATTTGAAATGCATTCTTGCGGAACCAGACGCTAGTACTAGTGGTAACCACTCAGTCGCCAATCGCAGAACTCTGTCGCAATAACAACACCGCGTTCCGGTACTGACGCATATCCGTCACGAGAGCTTAGTCGCTACAGAGTCACTCAAGAAAAAAACGGCGATCATGACGAGCCGTCGCGTTGACATACGGCGGAGTCCGACTTTCCCGATGTGCCTACATATCCTCTGCCACGTGGCATCCACGTGTCATGCGTGTCTTCCGCCGTTGTTCGCGGCAGCGGCGGACGGTTCCCCTCCAAACCCTAATACGGAGTTTGACCTGGACTGGCCGGGTGGCGAGGAAAAAATCGCCATGGCTCGAATCGCTGTGGCACAGCACAACGCGGCCAAGGTGAGTCACAGTCGATTAATTGTTCTACTCTTGAATTGTCCACTAAAAAGTTGTCTCACCGCGGCACATCACACAGCGGCCAGTGTGAGACTGTGAGTCACAGTCGACTGAGTGTTGTACTCTTACTTGTGAGTGAACTCAAGGTGACTCACCGTGTTACGCAGCATAATGACTGGATTAAGAGTCAGATTGAGTCGAACAACACACCGTGGCGTGGCACACACCGCGACACAGCACACTGTGGCACAACACAACGCGGCCGAGGTGATACTCTGACTCGCCGCGGCGCAGCAGAACGAGGCCACGGCGAGGTAGGCGAAAATCATTGTTTTAAGAACAGCACTCTTGAATTCAAGCTGGCTAAGTGTCTCATTCTCCTCCTCCTTTCTGCTTTACCCTTCTCCTCCATTTTCCTCCTTTCTTCCGTTCTTCCACTCTCCCCTCCTCCCCATCTCGTCTCCTCTCCTTCCCTTCTCCCCGCTTCCCCACGCCAGAACGACACCCTACAAGCGATCAGTCTAGTGTGGGTGGAGCGCGAAGGCAACTGGAGCGCTGGCAACTGGAGCGCAGGCAACTGGAGCGCTGGCAACTGGAGCGCTGGCTGCAGCCTCTCTCTCAGTTTGGTGACTGGAGCACAGGCTGCTAGTCCAAGGAGTAACGCCTCTCATTACCAGAACTACCCCACTCCCTACGATCCCCCCCTCCCCCCTCCCCCTCCCCCCCCCGCGCCAGAACGACAGCCTACAAGCGATAAGGCTAGTGTGGGTGGAGCGCGAAGGCAACTGGAGCGCCGGCGACTGGAGCAGCCACGAGGAGTACCGCCTCTCGTTGACGGCGCTCAGCCTGCTGCGCGGCCGCACCGCCTCCTTTAACGCCCTCGTCTCATGGGTCCGTGCCATGCCTGCACCATCCGCCCTCACGCCTGCTGCCCCCGCGCCATCTGCCCTCACTCCCGCTGCCCTTTCATAACCCGTAGGCACTCCGGCCGCGCCAGCAGCAGCAGCAGCAGCAACAGCAGCAACAGCAGCAGCCGCAGCAGCCACAGCGGAAACAGCAGCAGCAACAGCAGCAGCAACAGCAGCTTTTTACTCTATATTTAGAAGTGACCTTCCTTTTTCCTCGTTTGGTAAGCAAGCTCAAACACGAAGGAATGAGGCCACGCCAGTTCTTAAGCGAACCTTGATTTCATCGCGGCAGCCGCAGCAGCAGCCACAGCGGAAACATTAGGAGGAGGAGGAGTGGGAGGGGAGTACGGGTTGAGGTCGTTCGCCATGCAGGCAGGGTCGGAGCACGCGAGCACGGAGGAGGAGCAGGAGATTGCGCTGAGGCACGTGGTGCAGCGGCCGACCGATGCATGTGGCGATGAGTTGACTTTCGTTGACCTGTCAGGGGAGGACGTGCAGCGAGTGGCGCGAGGGGCGGTGGCGAGTGAGAATGAGAGGCAGGTGAGCGGTGGGATGGGATGGGATGGGATGGGATGGGATGGGATGGGATGGGATGGGATGGGATGGGGTGGGATGGGATGGGATGGGATGGGATGGGATGGGATGGGGTGGGGTGGGTTGGGATGGGATGGGATGGGATGGGATGGGATGGGATGGGATGGGATGGGATGGGATGGGATGGGATGGGATGGGATGGGATGGGATGGGATGGGATGGGATGGGATGGGATGGGATGGTATGGGATGGGATGGGATGGGCTCCGCCCTTTACAGGGGTCAGTCTTCCGTCCATCCCCATAATCAGGCGCAGTACCACTGGCTGAGGCACATGCTCAGACCCATTACACCTGTCTCCTTCCTTGCTCCCTCCCCGCCCCTCTTCCCCCCACAGGGCAGCGCTCTGCTGTTCATCTCGGTGCTGGAAGGTGGTGGTACCGGGATACAGAGAGTACACGCTCACACTGCTGGCAGCAGATGAGGTCACAGGCATGGTGGCACACTATGCCGTGCATGCACTGGACTTGGGGCGGACGAACAACAGCAATTTCACGCCTGTTACTCCACAAGGGGCGAACGCGAGTGATGCCGCTTCTGGTGCAGCTTCAGCAGCAGCAGCAGCAGCAGGGAGGGTGGGGTTGGTGAATGTGACGTGGTTTGCGGTGGTGCCGGGGACGCAGCGGAATGCAACAGGGGGGGAGATAAGCATGGCGGCAGCAGGGGGGTGTGCCGGGAGGAATGGGAGCAGCAGCAGCGCTGGTGGTGGTGGCGCCAGTGCGTTGAACAACAGCAGCAGCAGCAGCAGCAGTGGCAGCAGCTGTGGCAGCAGTAGTGGCAGCAGCAGTGGCAGCAGCAGTGGCAGCAGCAGTGGCAGCAGTAGTGACAGCAGCAGTGGCAGCAGCAGTGGCAGCAGCAGTGGCAGCAGTAGTGGCAGCAGCAGTGGCAGCAGCAGTGGCAGCAGCAGTGGCAGCAGCAGTGGTAGTGGCAGTGGCAGTGGTGGGGCGTTGAACAGCAGCAGCAGCAGCAGCAGTGGCAGTGGTGGGGTGGTGGAGTGGGACTTGGCACGGGCCATGGCAGGGGTGTGTGTGGATGAGGGGTGGGTGCTCGTCCCTGCTGCTGCCACCGCCGACAATGCGATGATACCCAATGCTTCCCCCATTGCCTCCTATGATGCCCTCTATAATGCCTCCTCCAATGCCTCCTCCAATGCCTCCTCCAATTCCTCCTCCAATATCTCTTCCAATATGATGCCTCCTCCAATTCCTCCTCCAATATCTCCTCCAATATGATGCCTCCTCCAATGCCTCTGCTACTGTCCCCTACAATGACTCCTCCAGTGGCTTCTCCATGCGCTCCCTCGCACTCTTCGCCTTGGGTGAGCCCAATAGGCAAGACAACGACTTCTCGTATTTGACTCTTCTGGATGTGCTTGCAGCGAGGGCGAATGTGGTGGAGGGGACAGGGATCAACTACAGCGTGACTGTAACAGCAGCGGCGCATGCAGCACCTATAATGTTCCAGTCAGTGCCTGGAGGAGACGACAAGGCAGCAGGTGTGGGGAAGAGGAAGGAAGTGGCGACAGTGAAGGTGCTGGTGTGGCAGCCGGTGCCCTTCACGGCTCACCGCCTGCTTGACTTGTTCGTGTTGGGTGACACAGCGAACAATGACTGTGCTTCCCCACCCCCGGGCTACATCCTCCTGGGTAACTGCATGGCAGTGCCTAAGGCTGGCTGTTACGTTGCTGCGCCGATCGGATTTGTGACCGTGGCTGGTATGCTTGTCTCCCTTGGCCTTGTGATCGCGCTCTTGTAGAGAGGCCAATGTTGTACATAGATATTTACAGTACGTGTTGCATGGTTTGAATAATCACTGCTGCGCACATTTGTGTAGAGTTGGTGTACATATGGTATTTTGTACATATCAAGGTTTCTACCCGTTTTCTTGGTGGTGCGTCAGCTTGCGAATATAATGTAGCATGAAGACAGAACATCAATGCTTAGCATAAATACCGTATGGCCCCGAATATAGGCGCATATGCGCTTATAATAAAAGCATTTTTTTTAGGGGTGGCGCTTGTAATTGAGTAACGGCCATAAGCGCCGGCGCTTTTATAATGTCAAAAATGGTTTTTGTTTTTTGAGGCACGAAACTGAAGCCCTCAATAAGGCGAACAAGACCATGCACTGTGCGCATGGGCTCGTGCATGAAAACCCGCCGAAACCAGTCGCGACTCGATTTCCCACCGCACAAAGCCCGTCCCGGTGCAACGCACCTGCCAGCGATGACGTGCATCCTGCCGTGCGGCCCAATAGGGTTTACATGCGCTGCCAGGGTGCCACATTTCACCCGAACTTTCGAGAAGGGGGTGGAATATCCCTGCCAGCGCAGCAGATACGTGCCGCGATTCCCTCCTCTGCGGGTTTAGGCAGGGGGGGATCTGACTATGCCTGAAGAGGAACTCGAGCCGCACACCATAAGGGGTCCCCTCCAAACCCTCATTTCTTCTCCTTCTCTTTCACTTTTTTCATTCAGATTCTTGGTCTCGCCCGCCATGCTGCGGAAGCCATGGCAGAATTCTCTGGCACTCATTTCTTGTTCAAGAAGAAGCCCGCGCGTAGGCCCGCCTTCGTAGTTGACGCCGACGGATGGCACTCCCGTGTCCGAGTTGAACCACCAGAGCCACCACAGCCTCCATCGCCTCCTGCGCCGCCTGCTCCTCCTGCTCCTCCTGAGCCGCCTGCGCCTCCTGCTCCTCCTGTTCCTCCTTCTCCTCCTATTCTTGATTCTCCTCTGCACACAGGGGATCCGCCGTGCTCACGCTCCTGCTCCCGACTGCGTTCGACGAGTGGCTGGAGGAACCGGAAAGCAACCAGGCCCCTGATGTTGAGGTACCCGACGCACCTTACCCTGGACCACGTTGGGGCCGGCCCGATGATTGCAGCACGTGGGACGAATCTGCACTCGGAGCTGACGACGACGTCGCTGAGGACGAGGAAGCGAGCCGTGCTGACGGCGACAAGGCTGCGGAAGCTGGCGCGCAGGGCGGAACCGCAGAGGATGTGTTTCCTGAGGGTGTACCTGGTGGCGACGACGACGACGGTGTCGAGTACTGGTCACGTGACGGACTCCCCGAGGAACTGCCGATACCTTCCTTTCCCCCAGCTAACCGCAAGCGACCCCACCCGTCTACCCAGAACCGTGATGCCCGCCCCCCCTCTCCCAGGCACAAGATCAGCGATCACAAGCGCAAAGGCTACACAGCTGCGGAGAAGTTGAAGTACGTCGCGATGCTGGATGCGGCGGTGTCGGTGCGCGCACTAGCTCGGGCGAGTGGGATTCACCGGAAGTGTCTCGCCAACTGGAAGGCGGCTGCAGCATTTCTCAAAGAAGCCCACACTGGGCGGAAGCGCATGCACGGTCGCGGGCGGGCCTTGTGGTACCGCCCCATGGAGTTGAAGGTGTACGAGCGGCTCCTGGACTGGCGCCGCAGAGGAACCGCCGTGTCGGTCGGCCGTCTGCGGGAGTGGTCGAGGGAGTTCATGAAGATCCTCTACCCGGACGACAAGTGGAGCGGGAGTCAGAGATGGTCGGAGCGGTTTCGGAAGCGGTGGAATCTGAGCGTACGCATGAAGACGCGGGTTGCTCAGAAAACAGCCGCTCGTAAGATTACGCCCCTTGCTTTTACCGGTTAGTCTAAGTTTCTGCCTCCCTTACTAATCTGCCCTCTATCCCGCCCGCCTTTTCCCCCGTCTAACAGATGTTGCGCAGCAGTGCCAGAACTTCTGGCGTTTTGTCCGAGACATGCGTCGCGCGCGCGGCATCGAGACTACCTGGATCCTCAACGCTGACCAGACGCCGCTCTGGCTGGAGATGCCCGCCACCACGACCGTGGATCAGACGGGCGTACGGTCGGTGCCCATCCGGAGTGCAGGTTACCAGAAGGAGCGTGTGACCGTGATGCTGGCGTGCACGGCGGACGGGGCGAAGCTCAAGCCGTGGGTGTTTTTCAAGCGGAAGACGCTGCCGAAGGGCGACTTTCCTCGGGGTAATAAGCAGCAACTGCCGCTGTTTTACCGTATGTTTTTGTTTCTCATGCCGCGCTAACAGTTTAAGTGCCATTTGTGTGTGCAGATGTGGTCGTGGCTTGCCACGAGAACGGGTGGATGAACGCAGAAGGCGTCATCCGCTGGCTTGAGGAGGAAGTCAAGCCCTTCTTGAAGCCCCGGTTTGGCAGGTGTGCGAAGAGCTCCATGCTCGTGCTGGATTCCTACCGCGGCCACCTTACCGATGGGGTGAAGGAGAAGCCCCGCGAGATCAACTGCGTGCCTGCTGTCATCCCGTCGGGCTGTACGGCTGAGGTTCAACCGCTCGACGTCTCCATCAACAAGAGCTTCAAAGCATCTGTTCGACAGCAGTACCAGAAGTGGTTTGAGGAGGAGGGCCTGGAGCGGCTGACACCAGTAGGTACGTTGTTTCCGTTATTCACGCATGTTAATCCAACCCTCACCCTTGGATGCTGACACGGCTTTCCCGGGTGTCTCTGTTGTGGTGCAGGGAATCTGAAGAAGCCCCCCCCAGAAGTGGTCCTTCGATGGATTTCACGGGCGTGGAAAGCAGTACCCTCCGACCTCATCAAGCGCTCCTTTCTCACCTGCGGCATTAGCAACGCCCTTGACGGTAGTGAGGACCACCTCGCCATGGCGCACAGGCGGAGCCAGCTGACGGCGGAAGTGGATGTAGACGACAGCATCGTCGCCGACGGCTTCTTTGGCAACAACTGCCAGGAGGCCGAGTCTGACGAGGAGTAGTTCTGGTAGCAACTAGGTAGAATAGCGGATCAAGTGGAATGTTGTGTACCAAACTGTAGTGTTTGTTGAAGCGAACGATGCTATAGTTGTTGTTTGCTTTTGTTGTGGTAATAAAAATAGTGCTAAATATGACGGTGGCGCTTATAATAAGGAAGGGTACAAAAGGGGGGGCGCTTATAATCGAGGAACGGCCATAAGCGCCATGCTCCAGATAGAAGCGCCGGCGCCTGTAATAGGCCGGCGCCTATATCCGGGGCCATACGGTACAAAACATCAATGCTCCAGCATAGATACAAAACATCAATGCTTGTAGCACAGATACAAAACATCAATACATTATGATCATTCCTCTGCTTTACTCTGCTTAGCTGGTCGAGCTCAGCCCCCTGCGTCTGACAGCAGCAGCAGCCCCCTGCAATCAGTTCGGAGCATTGATAAACGAACTCCCTCGTTCCCCGACGAAACACCTCAGAAAGTAGGAGCTGTCCGCATTGACCGGTTGTGAATCGTAATTACCACCCCCAGTGCTAAATCGCTCCACACCAATGGCAAGCCGGTGCAGGCGGCTCCACTCCACATGCACGCCCACTAGAGGCCAGGCATACCTCATTTTAAGCGTCTTCACTGTCGGTGCTATGCTGATGAGTAGCTAGGTCTTTACAACCCGACAGTGAATTGGGTTGTACTTGTACCCACTAACCCGGTATAGGGTTAGTACTTGTACCCACAATTCATTCAATGCAACCATTCATGCTTGCTATCTTTACATGGTTTCAGAGCAGTAGGTCCGTAGGACCGTTCTTTTTTTTCCGGGCCCACCATACTTAGCTTCCGACTGCGGTTACCGCGTTACCCCACTACCTTGCGTCGCGCTGCCCTGCGCACGCCCTGCCTTGCCCCGCGTTGCGCTGCCTCGCGCACGCCCTGCCCTGCCCTGCCTGGCGTCACCCTGCGCCAGCGCCCTGCCCTGCGCCGGCGCCCTGCCCTGCGCCAACGCCCTGCCCTGCGCCAGCGCGCTGCCCTGCGGCAGCGCCCTGCCCTGCGCCAGCGCCCTACCCTGCGCCTGCGCCCTGCACTGCGCCTGCCCCCTGCCCTGCGCCTGCGCCCTGCCCTACGCCCGCGCTGCGGCCCTGCGCGTCGCGCCCTACGGCAGCCCGCGCGTCGCGCCCTAAGGCAGCCCACGAGTCGCGCACTGCTGCCTCGCGCGTCGCGCTCTGCTGCAGCCCGCGCGTCGCGCCCTAAGGCAGCCCGTCGCGTCGCGCTCTGCTGCCCCTCCCGTCACGCACTGTTGCAGCCTGCGCCAGCGCCCTGCCCTGCGCCAGCGCCCTGACTTGCGCGCGCTGGCGCCCTGCCCTGCGCCAGTGCCCTGCCCTGCGCCCGCGCCCTGCCCTGCTAAACCCTATTTAAAATTAAAATACTAATAAAAAAAAAGGCCCTACGTTCTTTTGCCCTAGGAGCTACTACCTGCTGCTGCCTGCTACTGCCCTGCTGTGGCCGCGCGCCGCCCTGCTCTGGCTGCACGCCGCCCTGCTCTGGCCGCACGCCGCCCTGCTGATCTTACTCCTGTTGCTGCTACTCGTGCTACTGCTTTCACTCCGTACTGCCCTAGAGGTCGCGCTCCTCCTAGCTTGCCCGCCATGACTTCCCTTTGTCGTACCGGTGGGAGTGGTGACGGCGGTGGTGGCAGCAGTGGGAGTGGTGGCGGCCGTAGTAGCATTCACTGTGGCACTGTTTGGTGCGGAGGGTCTGGCAGTGGCCAGATGCAGCTACGGCGGCGTCCGACCCTTACGCCCCGGCAGCTTCGTGAGTGGCTTTACCAGCGTGGGCCGTCTCCGAGTCCGGGTCGCTGCTCGTACGTCATTCGCACAAGTCGTCGAGCTGGTGAGACCTGTGGGACACCTGGTCACGCACAGTCCCGCTGCTTCGCTGTGAAGATAAGCAGTAGAAGAAGGCGCCATAGCTAGGTAAGTCCTAGCTAGGCAAGAGAAGTTTAGGCAAAAGAGG